GTTCACCAGCCTAATTAAAGAAGATCCGGGACAGACATAAAGACAGTGTAAGATTTCTGCTTTCTCATGGCTGTTGTGGTGCTGGCACACGGCAGGAGCAGATTGATGGGGGTCAGTGTTCTGGAAAATGTGACAAGAGCTGGACAGAGCTGCTGGAGCGTTTCAATCAGAAGCACTTCGGTTCTGGGCTGGTGAATCCTGTCACAGCTCAGTGACACCACCAGAAACACCCCAAAGCTGCCCTGATGAAACAATGGCACCAAAGCCCTGCTTCAACCCCTGCTGTCTGAGAGAGGACAAGCAAAGGAGGGCAGTGACACAGGCAGAGAAATCTGGCTGCTCCACGAGGACGTTTGGCTGGAGCAGCATGGAAACAGCCATTCCTCCAAGAGCCCTGTCCTCCTGTGCTTGCTCAGATGTGAGCACACACGTGTGCTGGGATTGAGCCACCAGAGCCTTTCCCTGAAGGAATTTTGGGATTTGGGTGCTTTAGAGGGTGGGGATAAGCCAGCGAACAGTGGGAGCAGAACCCTTTCTTGTGGCAGCTGCTCCTGGTGAAGAGCTGAAATAATTCCACAATCTCCCTGCTCTGGCACAGAAGGTGCTCCATGCAGGATCCCAGCACAGTCAGAGACAGGGTCTGCTTTACTCAAATCAGTAATTCTGGTTTTCTGCCAACCCATAACCAGTTAAAGCCAGAGATCAGAGATGGGGGAGTCTCAGACTCCTTTGCTCCAACATTCTTATTAATTTGCTCTGATTTTTCCCTCAAAAAGTGCAGAAACTTCAAGGAAATCCTACTGGAATGGCAAAAGTAAGGGCTTCCACAGCTTCATGGGGAATTTTTGGCCTCAAGCCTGGCACTTTGCTGATGGATTTAGATGGATGTCCCTTGGGACGTGTATCTGGATAGAGCCACGCTTTGTACTTCCCTCGAGGGAAGCCTCTGCCTTCCTTGGCTTCCTCTGTTCTCCAGATATTAAAGCACCGATTTCCAAACAGAAAATCCAGGAAGCCAATTCAATGGCTGGGAGATGTTATCAGCTCCTGGTTATAAATGAGCCTTGAATGGAGCAGCAGCCACCTGCCAGCTCCCAATCCAGCTCCAGGTTCTCCGGCATAAGCAGGGAATGAGGGGCCTCTGCTGGACTGTCAGCACAGCCAGGAGAAAAAACAAGAATTCCCAACTTTTTCAAAGTGAACCCTGGTTATGGACAACCTTTGTCCCTCAGCTGGATTTGCCTTTGGAGATGACCGATTCTGGCTGCCACCACAGCCTGGAGGGCACATTTTGGGTGGTTTTCTCCCTATTTTATCTGTGTGGAGGAGGAAAATGGCAGCCTGAGCCTTGAGAACAAAGGTTATTTTGATTCATTTTGTGAAGTTTTCCTGCATGAAGCTGCTTCCAGCGACAGGACAAGAGGAAATGACCTCAGGATTTGCCAGGGGTGGTTTAGATTGGATATCGGGGGCATTTTTTCCTGGGAAGGGTCAGGTACAGACTGGCACAGACTGCCCTGGGCAGTGTTGGAGTCCTTATACCTGTAACTGTGTAAAAACCACGTAGATGTGGCACCTGGGGACATGGCTAGGAGTGAATGCAGTGCTGCTTTGACGATCCTAAAGGCCTGCTCCAACCCTAATGATTCCATGATTTTCTGGGTTTTTCACCACACAGCAGTGAAAGAAAATCATTTTTCCTGGACATGCTGGCATGTCCCAGGGCACTCTGAGCCCTGGCTGTGCTGAACTTCTCTGACACCCCCGTGTTCCCAGGTGTCACTGCTGGGAGTTGGTGTTCCCTGGCAGTGCTCCCCATTCCCACTGCAGTGTATCCACCAGCATCACTTGACTCCCCATCCCTGGAACTGCCCAAGGCCAGGCTGGGCAGGGCTTGGAGCAACCTGGGACAGTGGAAGGTGTCCCTGGCCATGGCAGGGGGAGGGATGGGATGGTTTTTAAGATCTCTTCCAACAAAACCATTCCATGATTCTATAAAACACTCACCATCAGCAGCCCACAGCTCTCTCTGTTTGCAGGGCTTATCTTTATCCTCCCCTTTCCATACAGACAGAGGCAGAACTCTCCAACACCAGCAATTCCAACCATTGCAATGCTTTTTTGGTTGATTTAGTTCCTGTTCTGTCAGCATGTCCTCCCGCTTAATCTGTGGCATTAATTCCTTCCTTGCTACTGGCTTCAGAAAGCATTAACAAGGGAAAAATAAATCAAGTGTTAGAGCACAAAGAAGACTTGTGGGAAAAAGCTTTTGAGCCTTTTCTGAGGCTCTCATGCCTGTTATTCTTTACTTTGCTGATACAGCTGGATTTACCATCCTGTTGAATGAGCATATTCCAGACTATAAAAAAATAACAAAGTCGAACCACGTGGGCTTTGTATAGGTCAGAGCTGGAGAGGGGCTGCCAGAGACAACAGCACAGGATGACTTCAGAGCACGAAATGTGCAAACGCAGCCAAAGTGCAGCCTGTGTTCCTCCAAACAAAGCAGGGACCAAACCTGAGACACCGCAGAAAACGAGCGTGGGAGCTCCGTGTGTGTGTGTGCCCCAGCTCGGAGCCACAGCTGTCTGCCAGCTGTGTGCAGATGTTGGTGAGACTGTGGGAATGTGGAGTGGCCTTTCCCATCCTGGGTGATAGGAAGCTTGTGGAAAGAGCTCACCTGAGTCAGTTTTAAATTGATGTTTTAGGGCAGGTTGATGCTCTCAGGTATTCAGTCTCATCTTTACCCTCGTCCTCTGAGGAAAACTCATCCCTGAAGTCACCACTGTGGACACAGCAATCCTCAGTAGTGGAGCAGGGCTGAATTCCCAGAGGAATTCCTGCCCTGTTTCACGCTCCTGTTGTGCTTTGCATTTTCAAAGCAGAGCTTTGGTTGTCCCCCCATCCTCCTTTCTCACATCCCCCGTGAGAAGCCGGACTGGGGAGTTCAAGAGATCAGAGAACTCACACCAGGCAATGTCCTGCCTCACGTGGGAGCCAGCTCCAAATGACCCCCCATCCCAAACTGCACCAGAAACATGGAAAATAAAGGGGTGAGAAAGCAATCTGAGCTCAGAGAATCTCTGAACTTATGGAAATAACCACGAATGATGAAGCACCAAAAGGAGGTGAGTGGAGCTGGGTGTGCGGGAGGTGAAAAACTTCTCACTCCCTCAGCAGGTGCAGCCTTTAAGGGTTAATTTCCTAAAAATGCAGCTTTTTCATTTCAAAGCCTTCCTAAAAAGTGCTGCAAGATCTGGACCCAGAGGAATTGTTGACCTGTAGACACCAGGAGGGGATGTGTTTTCACACACTGATGTCTCTTTGAGGTTGAAGCCCAAGGAGCAGCGGGGAAACTTCCGAGCCCGTTTGCAGCGCCAGGGAACTCGGCAGAGCTCCCACATCTGGGAATTGCAATTGTCCCATCCCCGGTGCCTCTGGGGTTTCTGTTCCCCTTCCTGCACATAAACACGCTGCAGCTCGAGCTGGAACCACAATGTTTTCAGAACAAACAGAAATACAAAGTGCTGCCCATGGTGAGCATTGTCTGCAACCTCAAAATAACTTTCCCAGCTCTTCCCTCTGTGTTTTTCCCTGATCCCAGGTTCAAGTGTAGGTGGATGTTCCCAGCAAAGGATCCATCCTGCAATTCCATGGCACGTGCTGGATGTTTGGGATAAATCAGTGGGTGTTGAACTGTACCTTAGTGGAGATCCTCGCTGGATTGGGGTGGTGATAACCCCTCTGCTTCCAGGAAATTAGGGGTTTTGTGGGAATTTGGTGAAAAACAGAATGATTTTATTCCTTCTCCTCCACAAGAAACAATCATGGTGGCAATTTTGATACACAGTGGGATGAACTTGCAGCTGAAATATCCATTTCAACCCCTATTTGCACCCTTAGGTGTTCAAAGTAGGTGTTTTCCCAGGAATTTTTCCCTGGGCTCAGCATTTCTGCGTGAAATACCACATAAATGATCATTATTCCTTCTCCACCATGGAGGGAAAAAGCAGCTGCCTGGCATTGCCTGACAGTGCCTGTACTTCTTTTGGCTCTCCAACAACTCAGGATTTGGAGAGTGGCCTGGATAAATCCCATTCCCAAAGGTCTGCAGCTGGAAATGAAAACACTCGCACAGTGCCCCAAGCCCTGGGGAATTCTGCCCGTGGTTTAATTTCATTTTATTTCTGCACAGGGCCTCCCCCAGGCCTGGCTCATGTCTCAGGTGATGAAATTACAGAATCCCAGGACCGCTGAGGTCGGAAAAGAGCTCCAGGCTCACCGAATCCAACCTGTGACTGATCCCCACTTTGTCCCCAGCCCAGAGCACTGAGTGCCACGTCCAGGAATTCCTTGGACACCCCCAGGGATGCGGACCCCAAACCTCCCTGAGCAGCCCTGCCAAAGTTTAACCACCCTTTCTGTGAAGAAATTCCTCCTAATCACAAAATCATGGATATTTAGGGTTGGAAGGGACCTCTGGAGATCATCCACCCCAAGGCAGGGCCACCTGCAGCAGGTGACACAGGAACGTGTCCAGGTGGGTTTGGAATGGCCCCGAAGATGGAGACTCCATAACCTCCCTGGGCAGTGTGCCAGTGCTCTGCCACCCTCACGCTGAGGTGGAACTTGCGGTGTAGTTTATGGCCATTGTCCTGTCCGTGGGCACCACTGAACAGAGCCTGACCCTCCCCTCGAGACACGTCCTCCCCTCCCCTGAGGGGGGGCCATTTTGTGTGAGGGGAGGGGGCCATTTTGTGGGCTCCACGTTCTCCTCAGGGCGAGCATCAACCCCGCCGTGTCCAAGCCATGCCAGGGCTGTGCCAGCGGGTGTGCGGGGCTGCATGAACCCCTCTCCCCGGCCCTGCGGGGCTCCTGACGCCGGCTCGCAGCGGCCGCAGCCCGCGGAGCTCCCGCAGCGCGCCCTGAGCGCCATCAGTCCTCCAGGCCGGCAGGGGGCGCTGCCGCGCGACACCGGGAGCGGCCCCATGCCGGGGCCTTCCGGGGTATCCCGGCCCGATGTGATCCCGGGGTATCCCGGTGTGATCCCGCCGCAATCCCGGGGTATCCCGGCGTGTCCCGGCCAGTCGCTCTGTGATCCCGGGATATCGCGGCCCGGTCCGTTGTGATGCCCTTGTGATCCCGGGGTATCCCGGCCTCGTCGCGCTCTGATCCCGCTGGAATCCCGGTGCAATCCCGGGATATCTCGGTGTGACCCCGGTGTTATCCCGCTGGAATCCCGCTGTGATCTCGTCCCGGCCCCGTCCCGCTGTGATCCCGCCGTGATCCCGGCGTATCCCGGCCCCGTCCCGCTGTGATCCCGCTGGAATCCCGGCGTATCCCGGCCCCGCCGCCATGGGGAAGAAGGGGAAGCGCGACAAGAAGGGGAAAGGCGCCGAGAAGACGCTGGCGAAGATGGAGAAGAAGGTGTCCCGCCGAGCCAAGAAGGACGAGGTGTGTGGCGCCAGGGGGGGGGCCGCTCTGGGCTTGAGGGGAAGGTTGAGGACAGCGCTGGGAGCAAAGGAGCGAATCCAAAGGGAAGCTGGGCTGCCCAGGGAAAGTGAAGGATGTAATGGGTTGGAAGATCCACGTGGATCATCCCGGCCCTGCGGAGATACCGCAGCAATCCCAATGTGCCCGAGAACTTTGTCCAAACCTCCTTGAAGCTGGACTTCAGGGAATGCCCAAGGCCAGGCTGGACGGGGCTTGGAGCCAGCTGGGATTGTGGAAGGTGTCCCTGCCCCTGGGTGGGATTTAAGGTCCCTCATTCTCCGATTCCAAGCAGAATCTTGCTTAAATCCCCTCTGATCCCTTGTGTGTGACAGCAGGTGTAAAAGGAGAGGAAAACACAGTTTAAGGCTCTTTTTTGCTTTTCCATCTCCTTCATCCTTCTGGTCCTGAAAGCAGATGAGAGCCTTTGTTTCTCGTGCTCCTAGAGGAGCTGCTTGTGTTTAAGGCTCAAAGCAGTGACTCTTCCCTGGTAAAAAGTGCTGTTAATGGCCTCATTCAAAGCTCCAAGGCTTGGAAGGTGCCCCTGTGGAGCCTCCTGGCTGCAGGGACAGCTGATTCCATGCTCCAAAATTCCCAGGCTTTGGAGAGTTCTGCTTGGAGCACACCTTCAGCAAGGTGACCTGGAATGGGGTGGTAGGAGAGACCCTGGCTCAGAACCTCCCATTGCTGCAGTCCTGCTTCTGCCCTTGGCCTGTCAGCAGTTTTGGGGGGCACATTTTGATTTTAATCGAGTGAAGTTGAAAGGGAATAAAGGTGCACGAGGTTTCTCTGGAGATAAAAGAGTTTCCAGTTACATTTGGGCGGTTATTTTTCTTTTTAAAAAAGGGAAACTCTGTGAGTGAGTGCTGCTTTCATGTGTGCTCCTGTGCATGTCAAGCTGCTCATGTCTGGCTTTTTCTTTCCAGGAGGATCTTGAAGCCCTGATAGCAGAATTCCAGAGTTTGGATGCTAAAAAGACCCAAGTAATTGAGTCTTCCTGCCCACCCCCCTCACCCAGGTGAGAGATTGTGTGAGGCTTTGGCTGCCACTTGCAGAGCAGCTGGGAGTGCTTTTAATGTAATTTCTTTATGTTAAGTTATTTCCCAAGAGTGGAAGATATAGATGATATCTGGAGTTATTTAACACCTGGAATACCAAATTCATGGTTAAAAAGAGACCACAAGCCTGGTTTTGGGCATCAAAATCAATTTTTTAACCACCACATCAGCACAAAAGAGGCAAAGCAGGATTAGATTTCAGGGCTTTGAGGGAAAATGAAAGTGAAGAGGAAGTTTTGGGTTTGGACTAGAGGGCTGAAGGGAATTCAGAGGCAAAAGGACGTGTCATGAGGTGAAAACCTCTTTGTTAAGTGGGGCTCACAGACTTGGGGTGTTCAGGAGAGCAGTGACCAGCAGCAAGTGCAGAATAATGACACAGATAAATGGAGAGGAGACAGCCCAGAGTTCTGTGCCCTCATAAAAGTCATTTTTGTTCCTGCCACCCCAGCATTAAAATTCAGGAGCTCACGTCAAAGGGGGAGTTAAATCACAGAGTAACGTGTGCTCCTGAAATAGGAGAGCCTCTCAGACAGTGCCCCATTCATCTTGCTGGAAGTTTTGGAAGAAATTAATTTCTTTGGAGAAGTTTTTAGCCCTGGGGTGAACATCACAGCAGGGTAATTTGGCAGATGATGGAGAGACCTTTGGGGCTGGAGGGCAGAGGTGCTGCTGCCTGAGTTAAAGGCTCCAAGATTCAGGGTTTTAAGGACTTTCACATATTTTTTTATTTTTTCCATCCTCTTTTTTTTCAGGCTGAACTGCTCCCTCTGTGCTCACCCTGAGAGAGACGAGCTGATCCTTTTTGGAGGTGAATATTTCAATGGCCAAAAAGTAATGTATACTTCATTTTCTTCTTCTTTATCTCCCCCCTCCCTCCTTTTCCTGTAATTTGCACGGGTCTCATTTGAAGGGAAATTCAAGGCAGAGTCATAAAATATGCATTTGTCCCTGAATGAGAGCAAAATAGCCTTTTAATTCTGCCATGGCTCTGTCTCATGGCTGAGCAGTTGGCAGGAAGGAGACACGCTGGAACCCATTAAGGAGTCAGAGTGATTGTCTCAGCATCAATATTTCAGGGCTTCATAATTTCTCCAGACTTAATTGCAGCCATATCTGCCCCTCATTTGGGATAACTAGTGAAGAATCTCTTGTCCTTCTCAAAACAAGATATTTCTGCACCTTTGCTGCTGGCTGCCTTAGAGATGGGAGCAGCAGCAAATTATTGCACTCAGGAACACTCCTTTTTCCTGAATTTCTGCAGGTTGCAAGTGGTTATTTTTCTCCTGGAGACAAACTGCTCTGGAAAACTCCAGCCTGGCAGTGATATTTGGCCACCTCAGAGTTACCCAGTGTGATGAGCTGAGCTAATTCTGCTTTTTTACCTCCTGGAGCTGTTCTTTGCTCGGGAGTTGTGCAGCTTTAACCTGAACATCTGTGTTAAGCTCCAGCTTTTTAAGTCCTCCTATCTCAAGCTGTCACCAAGGGCTTGGGAAGGAACATTCCAGCCCAGTGGAAGAGTTGCTGCCTCCCAGTGCAGTGCAGGAGCTGGCTGTCCTCCTTCCCTGCCCTCTGAGGAGGTTGTGTTTGCAATCTTCACCCCAAATCCCCTCGTGCAGAGCTGAGCTGGGCTGAGCTGCTCTTTCCTCTCCCTGTCTCACAGACCTACCTGTACAATGAGCTGTACATTTACCACATCAGGAAGAACAGCTGGGCCAAGCTGGACATCCCCAATCCACCTCCGAGGCGTTGTGCTCACCAGGTAAAGCTCTGGCTGCCCGAGCAGCAGCTGGGATTGTTCTGAACGTGATTTTGGGAGGAGGGTTTGAATTTTTGCACCTCCTGGGGGTTTCTTGCCTCTCTTTGTTCTCCTCATAATGGGCTGCCAGTGGTGTCACTTCAGCTTTTCTGTCCAAGGTGCTCTGGTCACTGGGTGTCCTCTGGCAGTGTTCAGTGTGGAATGAAGATTTGGGGTTGTGTCTGTTGATTTGGCAGAACGATTCTTCTTCAGAAATTAATTCTTTGCTGTATTGTACAAGGACCAGCTCAAATCCATAATGCCAGGGGCCCTGAATTTCCAAACTGGAATTTGGCCAAAATCCATTGTTCCCTTCATGGCCACAACCCTCATCCATGAACATCCCACTGCTGCCAGCAGGGAGCACTTGGGCTCTTCTCCACCTCTCTGCAAATCCAGGTCACTGGCTGCTTGTGAGGATGAGGAATTTGGGTTTGTTTACTTTATGTGAACACCTGCACAGCAGAACCTGGACCAAAGACTTGTATTTTTTGCAGGTCTTTGGCCCTCACCAGCTGATAGATTTTCTTACCTGCTGCAGCCAGTGGGTGACTGTTGCCTTCCCAAAGCTGCCATACAGGATGTGAATGTCCTTTTCCTACCCATCCCAAAGCTCCCTGGTAAGATCCAACCCCCCAGTTAGGTTCGTCTCCCTTTGTTATGTTACTAAGTGCCAGTGTTGCTCTGAGCTGTGTATCCTTGAATTGAAAGGTTCTGCCTTGATTTTTGGGCTGCTTTGTGCTGTTTAAAATAGAGCTTGGTTTCAGAGGCCACATTCCAGCAGCCAGCAGGTGGCTGTCGAGCAGCTCAGTCCAAAGGGAGCAGCTCAGGAGCTGCAGCTGGATTGCAACAACAATAAACTGAGGAGTCCTGCTTCAGCAGTGCTTCTGTCTGATAATTAATTATGGTTTCACAGGATTCAGCCTCATGAGCTGACTGGTTTGTCTTCCTTGTGGCTTTATATTTAATGCATAGCTCAGAGCTAAACAGAAGTGTGCCTTTGGGTGCCAGGTGCATGTTTTTAGTTTTATTTGTCATCCCTGGTCTCTGACACACAATCCACTGTTGGAGTTGAGGTGAGAGGAGCTATGGGCAGGTTTTGGCAGTTGTTCAAGGAAAAAGGTTTGGTTTTTTCATGAATTTCAAGCCAGCTCTTGGAAAGGTCACCCACAAGTATGAGCATAAACCTTCCCTTTAAGCTTTTAAGCACTGGATGCCCATGGAATTCAGGCACACATCCCCTTTGTTTAAGAAACTTCATGTTCCCACAAATCCTGCCTGAAAGCACACCCTGGATTTTCTTCATTAATCATTTCATGTTTGGGCTTATCCCAATGTTGAGCTGTGATGGGTACCCTGGAGAAAACACAAATCGAAATTTGCACAGCCACAGCATTTCCTCCTTGGGATTCCTTCTTCTTTGGTCCTAGCACAGATAACTTCAGTGAAGTGGAGTCTTGCTCTTCTCCCTGCTTTTAACTGGCACCTTGCATGCCAGAGGTGTTTTGGTGCTGCTCTGTGCAAAAAAAATATAAAAAACCCCCTCTCTGCTATGGCACAATCAAAGCAGTAAGTCTCTCCTCTTGTCCAAATGCTGCACATTTCCTTCTGCATTTGGGGTTTTTTTTGTTGTTGTTTTCTTTCTTTTGTTTGGTTTTGAACAGAGAGAGTTGAACAGTTTTTGTTACGTTAATCCCAAGATGTTTCCTAGGAAACTTTGAACTTCCCACAGGAGGTGGGAAGAGCCCAGCTCCTAGGCCAGCTTTCCCTTGCTCTAGAGAAGATGTGCTAAACACTTTTGATCCAAATTCTCCTTCCTTCAGCCCCAGGGAGCTGCTGCTGCTGTTCCCTGGGATTTGGAGCTGTGTGTTCGACACAGGGGGAAGTTCTGTGCCTGGTTTGGAGCCCTGCTCTGACCCAGCTGTCCCTTGTCCTGCAGGCAGCTGTGGTGCCCACGGCTGGGGGGCAGCTCTGGATCTTCGGCGGCGAGTTTGCCTCTCCCAACGGGGAGCAGTTCTACCACTACAAAGATCTCTGGGTCCTGCATTTGGCCACCAAGACCTGGGAGCAGATCAAGTAAGTGCTGGGCCCTCGTGTCTGGACCATTCTTTTGCCAAGAAATTTGGATTTCTGATCCCTGAGATCCTGGTGTTCAGTAACTCTTTGGTGTTGGCCTCATGAGGAGCTGTGCCAGTGTGATCCAAGTTTGATTCCTGGTTCAGTGCTGTGATTTCCCAGCTCTCTCTTAAATACAGAGGTGCCCATGCTCAAAGGGGTGGAGAAGACACCCCCAGAAAGAAGTGGGAATGAGAGATGTGTTCCAAGTCTGTTGAGACCAAAGCTGGCTTATTTCATACCTGATTTTTGGGGTGTGGGTGTGCCTTGGTGTTGCTTAACTGAAGGGAAGAGTATCACAAGCAGCTCTCTGTTCCCAACCCTGGCAGGTGCAGATGTCCAAAACTGGTGCTTTGCTTTCCTGGGCTCCTCCAGTGGGGGCTGTACAAGGCCAGTGCAAGGATCTCCCAATTTTAACACCACTGGAGAAGGCAGTTTGTATCCACCCAGCTTCACTCCTGGCATTTGCTGCCTTGAGATTCCTCAGGATAAACACGCCAGTAATTCAGGCCTGTCAAAGGAAACAGGTGCCAAAAGTTTTTGACAGGAGTGAAAGTGTAAATATTTTCAGTGGATCTGGCCCGAAGTCCTCTGTTGATGTTTCTTTAACCTTTGACTCCTTGCTTTGGCTGTTCCTGTTTGTATTTGCATGAAAAAGGAGTTTTATATATATATAAAGTGATATCCAGTGGACTGAGAGGCAGGAGATTGGCTTTGGGTTTGAGTTTGGCATTGGCTTCCTCTTGGACTTTGGGATTGTCTTGTACCAGGACACAGCTTTGGGTGGGCTGGAGCTCCAGATCACCCTCAAAGTGCAGCAGAAAAGCAGCAGCTTTTGATCACTTAGGAGCTCCATTTTCTTCCTTCAGATGGGAACACCAAATCTGTCCAGGTTGATCCCATTTCAACCCCTATTTACACCTTTATGTGTTCAAAGTAGGTGTTTTCCCAGGAATTTTTCCCTTGGCTCAGCATTAGAGGCTGTGGGGTCTGTTAGCTCTGCCTGCTGTCCTTGCACAAGTAGCTGAGGCTGTTTGGGATGAGCTGTGCAGGGATGGAGCCAGGGACTCAATCCTGAGGTCACACAGTGACTCACTGTGCCTGTCTCACCTTTTTCCCTCTCCCTGCAGGGTGGGAGCATTGATAGTGCCTGACAAGTGGGAATTTGGAGTCTACTCTATTTGAGCTTCCTGCCTTGTTTGGGTGGCCCTCTGTCCTTCAGCCCTGCTGGAATTTTGGGAACACCCATGCTCTGGTCCCAGTGTTGGAATCAGACAAAGCACATCTCCTCCCCATCCTTGGGCTGCTCCTGGAGCTGCATTAATGAGGCAAAGGGAGGGAATGGCTTTGTTTTAATGCTGACCTGGCTGAGCACAAAAATGCAGGTTTTGCTGCCTCTTTGCTTTTCCATACAGCATCTTGGTCAGGAGGCTGCTTGGAAAGGGAAACAGGAAAGGACAGAGGTGATTGGTGAGTTCTACAAGGGATTTTATCCTGCTTCTTTTCAAACTCTGATCATGACACCTGCAGTTCACTTCCTTCAGCATTTCCCATTTTTGGGGTCATGGTGAGGAGCCATCCCTGGTGCCAAGAGCCTTCACACAGACCAAGGAATAATTCCATGTATCCAGTGTGCTGCCAGTGTTACCTGAATAAATGCCAGGTGACACACATGGGGTACAGAGTACTCTGGGGTTTAGAAAATGTCATTTTAGTGCAAATAATAAAGTAATAAAATGAATTATTTTTGAAGAAATGTCTGGACAAGAGAGGCAAAGTTTCTTTTTCTGTTCCCTTGGAAAGGATCACAAGTGCCCCATTCCAGGTGGGTTTGATGTGTTGGTTTGTCCAAGATGACCCTGCTGTGATATAAACATGAAACTCTAGGAAATCTGGTTATTGCAGCCCCCCAGTTCAGATTCTAGACAATGAGGTTGTCCTTCCTGGCCTACAATTCCTGCCACAACCCACCCTGGTGCCGTGAGGGGCTTGATTCTGAAACACTTGGGAAGAGCAAACCTTGACTAACTCTGAAAACTTCCCTGTGCTGGGGAAGTGCAGCTCCATTTTCTCCTAGCACAGAGCACAGTGGTGCCAGGCTGCCTGACAGAGTTAAAAGTTGCTAAATTTAGCAGGATTTAGCTGTGTTTCCTTGCATTTTGCATGCACAAAGATGATCCAAACACAGCAAATCCCAGCCCGTTAGAAGCCGTGCCAGCAGCTGACTTTGACTTAGTGCAGCCACCTTATCTTGTGTGTGATGCTCGAGGTTTCCTCAGTCCATGAACTGTTTGTTACCCTGCCTTGGAGCAGCAATATTTTAACCTAATTGCCTCATTCCTTCCTAGAGAGAACATTCCCAGTCAGCTCTCTGAGTCCCAGTGCCCTCCCTCAGGGAGAGACAGGGAGCATCCTTGGGACTTGTGCTTGGGAATTGCCACATTCCTCCTCTGCAGCTCCCTTCACTGAGATTCTGGAGTGCTGGTGATGCTTCCTGTGGGATTTGGTGTAAATTTCCCAGTTTCACCAGTGTCTGTTTAACTGGAGCAGTCCCTGCAGTGGAGGATGGCCCAGCACAGGGTTGGGTCTGATGGATGCCTCTTCTTGCTCACCAGAAAAATCAGCTTCTGCCACAGCAGGTGGGAGGTGCTTAAAGAAAAGGGTGTTTTGGTGTAAATCAAGTAGATGGTCAGGCCACAAATGAGTTTGTTCTTTGGTAGATCAGGATCCAGGTGTACAACTGTGGATTGACTTTGCAGGGGGTTGGAATTGAGGATTTTGGGCCCTGTGCCAGTTGTGTTTTCCTTTCTCTACTTCCACCTGAGTGTCCAGACACAAAGGGACAGGATCTGTGTGTGTCACTGACCCCAACACTGGGACATTTCCAGGGAAAGGTGTAAAACATCACAAATCCTGAGTTCAGATTCCTCTGCAGGATAAAAGTGCTCTGTCCTCAAGTGCCCCTGTGATGGAATGTTCTCTTCATCCCATTTTTATTATTACTGAGCATTCCCAAGCTTCACCTGAGCATCCTGTGGATGAAGAGGCAGCTCCTGCAGTCTGTAGCCACTGGGACAAGTAATTAATGAATCTGGGGGCTGAATTCAGCTTTGGTTTGTTACTACAAATCCAGAGTAGTTCCACAGGCAAAAGAAAATTTCTTTTGGAGCAGCTCAGATCAGCCTCATGCTGTACATGTGCAGAGCCAGTCCTTAGCCAGAGTTTTTAATCTATTTTTAAAAAAAGTCTGGAGAATTTACAGCTCCCTCCTACATGTCTGCCTTCTGGTGTCAACCCCATGAAATAGAGCATTAATCACAAAGTCTGGGAAGCCATTTCCAAAATGTTTGGGACCAGGAGCACTGAAACAGGTAAAAGGAAATAGTTTGTGTTTGGGAAACAAGTTGCAGGAAGATCCTCCTGGAGTGGGAATGAGGTTCTGCATCACTGCCAGTCCTGCCTGACTGTGCCATTTGTGCCTTGGAGTTAAATCTACATTGGTGGGAGCTTTATTAAAACACATCAATGAATAAACTTTTATTGATTTTGAACTCAGAGGAAACCTGTTTGAGAAACAAGGCACAATATATTCTCTGAGAAGAGGATTTTAATGCTCATGTTGGGTTTAATTCATCCTCCCCTTAAAAAAATAAAAAGATGATTTAAAAAGTGCCATCTTTTGGAGTAATGACACGGGAGCTTTGTTACAGCAAGAGAAAATAATGATTTCAGGTCTTGATGAAATTAATACCAGAGGTGCTGTTCTGCAGGGTGATACTTAAAGATCCAGTAAATGCTTGGAAAAACCTCCTCTCTGTTAGAATAAAGAGTCCAAGCAATCAATATTAATTCAGTCTTCCCCAAACGCTGCTGTTCTGGTGGAGTTTCTCATTATCACCGGGGTGAGGTTGTCATTTTCCATGGTGAATAAGGGCCCTCATTTTCTCTCTCCACAGAAATCCATCACCACATTCCCAGCTCCCTGCTGCCACTCCAAGTGTGGCTGGGGGGTTATGGCTTTGGGTTTTGCTGCTGTTTTCATCTTTATTTATTTAGGCCCTGATTGTGCAGTCACTTCCACACCTTAGGGCTGCCTGTTGGAGGAGTCTTGCTGGGCTCAGTGGTGCCAGCTGGGAGCTTTGGGAGACTCCTCAGTGGGGGAAAGCAGGATGGATTCATCACAGCAAACCCTCTTTGGTCTAGAGTTGGCTGTGTTGGCAAGTTGTTGGGGTTGTTTTTGTTGTCTCTTGTGTGATGCTGGGGGTGAAGGAGGAGGAAGGAGGGTGGATCCATGTTGGAATGGTGTCCAGCTGCCCAGCTCCTCAGGAGCCTTGTGGATGGGACAGATAGAGGGGGTGTTTCTTGTTCCTGGAAATGGAAGCTGCACATTTAACTGAAAGGTCAGGAAAGGTTGGAAGAGCACAACAGGCATGTGTGACTGCTTTTGAGTGTGTAGGATCATGGAGTGAGTCACACAGTCATGGAATGGTTTGGGTTGGAAGGGACCTTAAATCCCATCCCATTCCTCCCCCTCCATGAGCAGGGACACCTTCCACCATCCCAGGCTGCTCCAAGCCCTGTCCAGCCTGGCCTTGGACACTTCAGGGATCCAGGGGTAGCCACAGCTTCTCTGGGCACCCTGTGCCAGGAAGAATTCCTTCCCAACATCCCATGTGTCCCTGCCCTCCTTCAGTGGGATAATGCTGATAATGATGACTTGTTTTGCTGCAGTGCCTTTGTTCTTGAGGAAATCTGGGTAATTCATGAAGTGTTTTCACTGGTTTGGAGTCATACCCAAACTGCAGGTGGATGAGTGAAGGTGGTGTTGATTTCCTGAGACACTGAGGGAGGGGGATGTCGGAGCCAGGCTTTGTCTCTTGGTGCTTGGAGAAAACATCTCCGTTTGGAGTGTCTTCCCTGCAATTGTGAAGTGCTGTTCATTAAACTCTCCTGAAGAATTAGCTCCTGAGTCATCATGGAAAGACTCTGGGTGCTCTTAGGGTGGTTCATCTCTAGGAATAGAACTGCCTGTGCTGCAGTCCCCAGAGTTCCAGGAAGAGCACCCATCCTGTCCTGGGGAAGAGCAGGGATTGGGATTGAGTCCACCTCGTTCCAATGGTGCCCATTTCCAGGAGAGGCTGAGCTCAGCCAGCTCAGCTGCCAATGGCTGCAGTAAAAATGGCCTGAGGCACTATTAGGGCAGGGGATTTTGATAAATGGAATTTCTTTGTGTTTCAGGGCACCAGGAGGGCCCTCTGGACGAAGTGGACATCGGATGGTTGTGTGCAAAAGGCAGCTGATCATCTTTGGAGGTTTCCATGAGAGTGCAAGGTGGGTTGCTGGGGTGGCTCGAATTTTAAGTCCTCCTTAAAAAGGCAACAAAATTTCACCAGTAACAGAAATCTGGGTGTGAATGGGAGAGCTGTCCTCAGCAGGACTGGGACTGAACTGGATTTTTGTGTTAGAAAGACAAGGGATCTTGATTTAAAGTCTTCAGGTGTGGGAGAAACCATGGTAGCATTGAAGCAGCTGCCCATCCTTGTAGCCAAAGCTCAGTCCAGCACTTTTGGTCTCTCAGTCTTGTCAGATCCTTGTCTTGTAGAAATGGGGGCTGTGAGCAGAGCTCTGAAATGCTGTTTTATCCTGTCCTGAGCGTCCCCATCACAAAATGTGCTGTGCCCATGTGCTCTCTGCAGAGATTTCATATACTACAACGATGTGTACGCCTTCAACCTGGACTCCTTCACCTGGAGCAAGCTGGCTCCTGCAGGGATGGGGCCTGCTCCAAGGTCTGGCTGTCAAATGACTCCCACCCCTGAGGGCAACATCATCATCTATGGGGGCTACTCCAAGCAGGTAGGGGACACTCTGTGCTGTCAGGTGTTGTCCACAGGCTGGGAACCAAAACAGGCATCTTCTCATTCTGCCTTTTTTTCATGCAGTTCTGCTGATTGAGGGACTAATCTTGGTTCAGGTGATTTCTTTATTTTCCATGATGTTCTTATCCAACAGAAGGAATTGATGTCACTGAGGGAGGAATAAGCAACTGGGAGAAATGACATTTTTTTGGCAACTTAAAGCATTCTCAGGTATTCCTTTGTGCTTCAGCACTTGCAGGTTAAAAGCAGCAGTTGCCAGGAGACTTTTATTTTGTGCCATCAGTGGCAGAGGTGAGAGAGCAAACTCAATAAGCCAAAAAAGACTTTTGACAAGCACAGGCTCCCCCAGCTCTGCTCCTTGCTCCGTTAATCCTGGGATTTTATACCAGAGAGCGCATTCCTCACTGAGCAGGTATCCCTGTGTCCATGGTGGGCTGCAGGAAGGAAGTGTTTCATTGAGCAGAAGGCTCCTGCAGAAGCTTTTCATGTTGGGAATGCAGGCAGAGGCCCTGGATCCTGCTGCTCCCGTGGAAAGGCAGCAGGGGAGGAGGACGCCTTGTTCTTCTGAGGGGAATACATGAACAAAGGAGGGAAGCAGGGAGAGGGGAGAGAAGGGAGTTGGTCTCTCTGTATATTTAGAAGCATTTGTGCCTCCTCAGGGCCTGAGCTTTGGGCTCTGCCTCATCAGATGTGCCTTGGATTCGGCAGCAGTAACGACACAGAGCCTTCTCCACCTGAAGGGCTTTGTCCTCTTCCCTTCCCTGTGCTGTGTCCTCACTCCTGAGGGTGGGGAGGGAGCAGGAGCCTGCATGCTCTGCTAGGTGTGGAGCTCTTCTGGAAGCAGCTGGGCTCCAGGTGCCCCATGGGAATATAAAAGTCACACATGTTTGCAGTTGGGTCTGCTCCACTGCTGCTCTGGGTTGCTGTGAGCTGGTGAAAATGGAGGAGGAGGGATGGGGGAATGCAAAGCTGCTCTCAGCCTTTGGCAGGGCACTGGGCAAGGATGGGAGCTGGGAGAAGTTCACTGCAGCTTGGAAAACAGCTTTTCCATTAGAACAGGCACTCCATTAAAGCAAAACAGGCATTCCATTAAAACAAGACATTTTTCACAGATGTTAAAAATCTCCTTCCTTTGTCATGTGGAGAGCTCTGTGTGCTTCTGTCTGATGGGCCATTTCTGCCAGGCTCTGCTTTTGTAGCACAAACTGACCAAAGCTCTGAACAGAATTTTCTCTGCAGCCTTCAGCATGCTCCTGAAAATTAAATTCAGCAGGATATGGCCCCTCCAGGAGAGACCCACTTCTGTTAATGTGTGGCTATTTAATTCTCATTGTGTCTTCACTTAGAGCTGATTGTGGAGCTGAGTGTCTGGGTTTGCTTTGAAGTGAAGAAAATGTGTTTGCCTGGGATACTCTTGGGAGAAGGTAGACATGGAGAAAACAATACTTAATTGGAGTTGGGCAGCTACAGGAGAGGACTTACTCTTGTCTCCAGTTACAGGGTCAGGATACTCCTGTCAGGGTTGCTATGAAGACATTTTGGGAGGTTTGAAGACATTTTCACATCTGAAACCAGGCAAATATCCAAGGAAAGCACCATTCATCAAATGCAGAGTATTCCAAGGAGAGGCAGGACTAAGTCACACATGGGATGGGAAATTTTGAAGGGAAGAGGGGAGGAAAATCATAATAGCTCTTCTTTTTGAATTGGGACATAATTTGGCTGTCACTGCAGGACAGCCAGGGCCAGCACCTTGGTCCCCACACACCTTTGCTGTGGATTTTCCTGAGCAAACCAGGCTGCAAATGGTGAAAAAGGAGCTTTCCAACCCTGGGTGTGACTGAGATGCTGGTGCTTGGTATTTTAAAGAGCAGGATTCTCAGCACAGTGGTGTCTCTGTTTCTCTTTCATCAGCAGCCTGGAGATGATAAAGACAATTTCTGTCATCTCCTGCAGAAGGGGATGTTGTGGGTGCTGCCAGCTCTGCCTAGAACAGACCTCACAATGCCCAGAGGAGCTCAGACCTGCTCTCCTGCTGATCCTAAAGATGTCCTCAGCCCTTTCCTGCGCTGGGGATGGGGCTTGCTGCAGCGAGCTGCATTTTGGGCTGTCTGAAGCTCCATTGCTAGGCAACAGAGGGGCTGGAGCTGCTGCTGCTCCACCTTGCAGGTGCAGCCTACAGGCCAGGGGAGGGCAGGAGTTACACGTGGGCAGGGCTTTGGGATGCCAGACATAGCTGGGGTGTGGGATCTTGTTGTTGTTTTGGTTTTTTATTGGTGGCAGTCATCACAAAGCTGAAGTGGATTCTGCTGGGAGATGTGGAGTGCCTGGATTGTAAGGTCTGCTGGGACTGGTTCCCTCTGTGTTCTGCCCGCTGAACACTTTTGCTATTTGGATGTTTTTGAACACTGTTGATCTCCTATCAGGCAATTTTAGCACATGGAGAATCCTGATTCCACCTCTCAGGCTTTCTGTGCCTCGGTTCCTTTGCAGGCTGGCAGCAGAGTTGGAATTTTCAGCTGATGCCTCCTGTAAGGCTCTTGTACCTCCCCACCGTGCCTGCATGTGCAAAGCACAGCCTGCCCACTGTGGGTATCCCAGCCAGTTTTGTGCTGGAAAACAAAACACCTGGAACTGGAAAGCACCAAGGACTAGGGGGGAGCAGGAGCCTCTTGTGAGTGATGGAATGATTTGCTCAGGGCTGACTTGTCCTGCCTGGGAGGGGATGGATCTCTCCAGCAGCTGGAAGTGCCTGTGACAACAAAAACTTGACTCCCACTCCACCTCATGGGGGTTTTCTGAGCCCAGGGAGCTTTGTCATATTACACACACAGTGTGTTTACTACAGGGAGCTTTTCAGGAGAAAGGAATGTGGATTTTCCACACAGCTTGGATGGCTGTGCAGCTAGCTGCTCTCTCTGTGTTTGCTCTCCTGCCTCTCAGGCAGTGCTGTGCTCCTCACACTTCACCTGGGTGGGGTTGTGCTGTGCCTGGAGCACACTTCCCTCTCTTCTCCCTAAGAACTGAACACCAGTCCCAGGAATTGGGTACCAGGCCCTGCAGCAACAACAAAACCTGCCAGGTACACGTGTGCAGCAGGAGAGGGCTGGACCCACTTGGTTTTAATCCCCTGTGACAATTTATTTCTCTTCTCTGGGTGCTAAAATTCCTGCATCCTGTAGTTTCCATAGAGCTGAGGGCTGGACCCTGGGGTGCACTGCAGGGATGCACTGCAGGGATGCACTGCTGGGATGCACTGCTGGCATCCTGGGAGCAGAGTTCCTCATCCCAGGAGGAAGGGAATAACAAGGAAGCAGGAAGGATGGCTGGTAATGACATTATTAACAGCTCCCGTGTGGTGTGGCACAGAGCTGCCTTGGGATGCTGTGTTGCCATGAGCACTGGAATCCAGGGCTTCCAGGGAGAGGAGCAGGGAAATCACACTGAAAATCAGGCATTTCATGGCTTCTGCTGAGCTTTCACCTTGTCCTTGCTGCTGCCTTTTGTAGGGATGGGAGTGGAGTTTCTGCTTCTCTTTAGGGGGATGAACATGCTGCTCAGGGCTGTGTGGGACGCATGGCACAGCTGCCAGCTGCATGGGGGACAGAGCTGTCACCTCTGCCCCTCCTGTGCTGGCTCAGGGGGGTGACAGAGACCCACAGCCTGGGCTGGTCACAGGGGTGGGCCACATGAGGTCACTGCAGGTCCGAGCTGCTCAACATCCAGGGCAGAATCCCAGGGGGCCTTTTGCAAGCCCTGGAAGGTTGTCATGTCCCACTCTGGGGAATGGGAATTGCTCCTTTTACAGGAGTTAAATCAGCCCTGAGAGCACCTGGTCCTGTCTGGGGCAGAGTAAAAGGCAGGACCTTGGCTCTTCTGTTCCCTCAGTGCTGCCCACCCTTCCTTTGTTTGCAAACCACTTGGTTTTACTCTCCTGTGACAATTTCTTCTGCTCTGGGTGCCAAAATTCCTGCATCCCATAGTCTCCATACAGCCACAAATCCCCAGAAATCCGTGCTGCAGCCTGGAGAGCCCTTCCTGCTGCTACAGGCAGGAATTCTGGCACATCCCAGGGAGTATCCCTGCTTTGAATGCCATGGTTTGGAGCTGCCTGATGCTCCAGAGGGGCCTCTCCTTGCCCAGTGCCAGTATTTGCATTTCCAGTTGGATCCCTCTGTGGTTTGGCCACTGAAGCTGTTTCCTGAGCATCCTTGTGTTTCCCTTCCCTGCAGAGGATCAAGAAAGATGTGGACAAAGGCACCCTGCACACAGATATGTTCCTGCTGAAGGCTGAAGGGGCAGGCAAGGAGGAAGGTGAGCACTGCCCTGGGAATGCAAATCCTCTCCCTTCCTTGGAATAACACACCAAAAAACCTGGAACCAAATTCCCCTCTCAGTGATAACCTCTGTGCCCCAGTGTTGGCTCAGGCAGAAATGGAGGAAAAGAGAATTTGGTGATTTTTTTTATCAGTTTGTATGTGGGAGGGAATTAAAACAACATTTCCAAATTCCTGTTTCTGGGACATTTTGATCAGTACTTTCCTGTTCACAACAGAAAATCTTTGGGATTGCAGAATTTTCCTGTGGTGGGGTATTCTTGGGTGGATGCCAGGGACCTGCTAAAGCTGCTCCATCCCTCCCTCCCCAGCTGGAGAAGGGAGAGAAAATCCAAAGGGAGACTCATGGATTGAGAACAGGACAGGGAGAATCACTCAGCTCTTTCCCTGCTCCAGGCTGGGCCCATTCCATGGGGTACAATCCTTCTGGGACAGATTGATCCATGGTGGCTCTTTGGTTATCTAGGATTGGAATAGGAATTCCATCACTTTCCTTAGGAGATTTTCTCCTTGACTCAGGCAGTGGGACAATTTTCTTGGAGCTGAATTTCTAAAATGTTAAAATTGTGATTGATTTCTCCAAACCTGACTGTCTGGGATGGGATTTGGGGAGGAGGGTTGTTCACCAGCACTGTCTGGACTCCAGGTCCTGTTTGCATTATTCCTATTTATAGTTTTACCTTGCTGGGATTGCAGTTCCTTTGGAAGCACAGGGCCTGGCAGTGCTTCTCCCAGCTGCATTTCAGGGATTTGCTCTGAAGTCAGAGTAGAAGGGATTGGAGAAAAGCAGAGGGATAGAGCACAAGTCTTGTCCTGCTGCTGAGCCCTCTTTTAAAGCCTGGTTGGGGCTTTTTGGGATGATCTGTGTTTATTTTTGGGGGTAAGGCAACGGTGCAGGCTGGCAGAAGAGCTAGAGAAAACTGATGGAAGGTGGGAGGGCTCCATGGGATAACTGAGGGACATTTTTTGGTGCTTGGTGGCTGCATCTGATCAGGCCTTATCTGAGCTCCACATTCCAGTAAAGGTGCAGACAGTTTCTAGAGTCTCCTTGCTCCAGAAAGCGCTGGAAATACCCTGAAGATGCCATGAGAATATCCAAAACAGGGCGTGGAATTCATGCCTCAGGTTTTAGCTTTTATATTTTTCAGATTCTGTGCTGCTTTAGTGTGTGGGTCTGAGCTTCACATCAGGGGATGGTGAGCTCTGTGCACAGAGCAGGGACACAAAACAATTCCTGCTCCAGCTGGGCACCAAGGACAAATGATCCAAATCTCAGCCCAAGAGCACAAACCCCGTGGGCTGGAGAGAGAAAAACAAGCAGGATGGGAGTGCAGGGGCTGAGCTGGAATTGGACAATGAACTGCAATGTGCACATGGAGCAGAGCTGGTCACAGTGACAGATCTTGTGACTGGTTGTCCATTTTATGACCATTTGGGTTCATCTTGGGTTCATTTTGGGACCATTTTGGTTCATCTTGGGTGCAGCCCTGGCTGGGCTCTTGTGCTGCCCAAGGTGGATCCATTGAGGAGATCCTGTTAATAAATCCCTGCTGTATTCTTTAGCTCTGCCCAGCCTCTGTTCTAGCTCAGCTTTCCAAGGCATCAGAATTCTTTGCTGGAATTCTGAGAGCCTTGGAATACACAAACCAGGCAGGATTCTCCTCTGCTGGTGCTCACATTTCTTCTCTCCATTCAGACAGGTGGAGCTGGAGCAGGCTCAGCCCCTCTGGAGTGAAGCCCAGCCCCAGGTCTGGCTTTGCTGTGGCCGCTGCTCCCAACAACCGCTGCCTCCTTTTTGGGGGGGTGCACGATGAGGAGGAGGAGGAGAGCCTTGAGGGGGACTTCTTCAATGACATTTATTTCTATGACATCGGGAAGAACCGCTGGTTCCCTGCACAGCTCAAGGTCTGAGGTTCAATAATTCAGTCATTTCATCGCCTGGCACATCATTTATGGCTGGGTTGGCCTCTTTGGGATTTCACAGATTGTTTGGGTGGGAAGGGACCCTGAAGATTCTCTTATACCACCCCTGCCATGGGCAAGGACACCTTCCATGAGCTCCAAGCTGGCCTTGGACATTGCCAGGGATGGAGCAAGGTTTTTTCTCTCTTTGAAGGAATCCTGTATTTCTGGTAGCTCAGGGTGCACCTGAGCAATCCCTCTCCTCCAGGAATCAGGCTGCCCCATTATTGTGGAATGCAAAACGAAGCAAAGCAGCTTGAAAACATATTTCTGGTGTTTTGCTGAAAATCCTCTCCAGGCCAGATGAGTCTGACATGAGAGTTCACTCAAAGCTGTTGTGAAAAGATTTTGGGATCAAGCCCCTCCCTTTTCTCCCCAGTTCTGATGAGCTACCAGAAGAGATGAAATATTAACCTTGAAATATTAACCAAGAGCTTCAGAGCTCAGCTCAGCTCTTTGATTTTGTTTGAACCACTCTCACAGGCCAAGGGAGGTGCAAACCTGGTTCAGCTTCTCCTTCCCCCTGCCCCTTCCTGGCTTTGTTCTCCAAATGGAGAAGTCAATCCCATAATAACAGGCAAACAGCCACTCAGCTGGTTGCTTCAGCCTTCCCAAACTGATTGTTTCCCAGCCCTTTCAGAGAGTTCTTCCAAGACCTGGAGTGCTGCCTGGTAATGGGCTGTAATTTAGCACCCAGCAATTGTTGTGATTTCAGGAAATCGTGGGTTACTTTCCCTTGTCACAGAACAGTGGCCTCTGTGTGTTTGTGGCACCTGGGAGCAGAAGAGCTGCTCCTCTCTTAACAGAGGGAACAATTCCACACCCTGGATTCTCCAGGATCTTCACTGTTCCTTGTTGTAGGCTGGGAGAAGCTCATGCTGTAGGAGGAACTGCACTGCTCACTCGAGACTTTAAATTGTGATGAAAAATAGGAATTGTCCCTTCCCTCTGTGTATGAATATGTTAGGTGCATGCAATCCCACAAAATCACCTTCAATTCCTGTTCTCAGGGCCCAAAATCAGAGAGGAGGAAGCGCAGGCGTGGCAGACAGGCTGAGGCAGAGGCTGCTGGAGGGGAGGAGCTGCAGCTGCCACCTCCCCAGGGCCCCCTGGAGATCGTCAAGGAGGTGGTGGCAGAAGATGGCACCGTCATGACCATCAAACAGGTGATCCCTGGAGCTGCAGAAGACAAGGACAGGTCTTGCTCAGAGGAGGAGGAGGAGGAGGAGGAAGGTGGAACCCTCGGCCAGCCCGTGGAGCCATGCCCACGCTCCAGTGCCATGGTGGCAGTGAAGCACGGGGTCCTCTACGTTTATGGGGGCATGTTCGAGGTGGGTGACCGCCAGGTGACCCTCAGTGACCTGCACAGCATCGACCTGCACAGGATGGACCAGTGGAAGGTGCTGCTGGAGATGGATCCAAGTAAGCTCTGCTGCTGGGAGCTCTCCCTGTGCCTTCAGGGCAGCAACACTGGGGGAAAAAAACAACTGTGGGGTTTTCTCATGGGTGGTGGAGAGCGTTAGAGTGGAGGTTTTCTCTGGATAGGGAAAAGTGTCTTACCTGTGTGGCCCAGAGTTTTGGGGTCACTGCAGAGTTAGCTCTGCCCTGTGACTTGGAAATCCAAGAGCTGTAAACGAGTTGTGGTGGCATGAGCCATCCTGGGAATCCTGCTGTGCCAGCTTTGTCCACTCCTCCAGGGAACTGGGATGCTCCTGCCTGTCCCCACTGTCTCAGGGCAGTGAAGGGCTTGGGTCCTGCAGAGCATGTGGGGTAACCTGGGGTTATCTCTTTGTACCTTAATTCTCTCTGTGCCTCTCTTCTCTTTCCTTTCTCATCAAAGAAACCCAGGAATGGCTGGAGGAGTCAGAGTCAGGTGAAGAGGAGGATGATGATGTGGAAGGTGCAGAGGGAGGGGAGGAAGAAGAAGAGGAGAGCTCTGAAGAGGAGAGTGAAGATGAGGAAGGTAATTACTAATAAATGCTGTCTCCATACTAATCTGAAGTGGGGTTAGTGCAGTGCCTGGTTGTGCTGTGAGCCTGGAAGGGTCTCCCTGGCATCCAGGTGAGTTTCCAGCAGAAGCAGCTTTCCTAACACATTCCTTTTGGAATAAAAGAGGAATGTTCCTGCTTGCTGGTAGATTTTCAGGCTGTTACGTTCAGCCTCACGTGGTCCTGGTGAGCTGTGTGTGACCTGTGTGTGCCTCTCTTTGCCCAGGGGAGCAGCAGCACCCAGCAGTGCAGCCTGGGGAGGCCCAGGCCCAGTACCTGGCCAGGACAGAGCAGTACTGGCTCGGGCTGGCCCGCAGCCACATGGGCCCCGAGGCCAAGGACAAGAAGGTGCTCAAGGTGGCTCATGCCATGGCCAAGACTTTCTATGAAGATCCCATCCAGATGTCCTGAGGCTGCTCCTGGAGTGAAGGAACGTGCTGGGAGCAGCGGCCAGCCCTGCTGAGCTCAGCCCCATGTCCATGCTGGCTGCAGCCTTTCCCTGCTCTGGGCTGACCATCCTGGAGGGATGCTCTGCATCTACTGGTACTCCTGGGAATGCTGTGGGAGGCTCTTGAGGAACAGGATTGCTGTCCAAGCACTTGTTCTGCTTGTTCTGGGCTGTAAAACACTGACTTTGTTGTTGCAAAGTTGTTTGGGGTCTTTCAGGACAACTGTGCACATGACAATGGTTCACTGGTCCCAGATTCCTGACTGGGGTCAGGACATGTCTCCAGGTTTTCCTACAATAAACTCACTTGGTTATATCACCTTGTTTTGCTCAGTAATTCCCATCCCAGCTTTTGTTCTTGTTTTCCTCCTGGTGTGGAAGAGGAATTGCAGTTCCTGCTGTGACATCTGCAGGCAGTGTAAAGTGCACCAGCAGCTCTGAGATGCCTGGAAAAACCTGGGAATCCTTTCCTGCCTTACCTGTGAGATGCACTCATAGAAACCTCTTCCTTTTCCATGTTCATTGTAGTTTTGCCTTTGTGGAATGTCCCAGTTCAGTTCTTCCCCCTGTTGGCCCAGTTGTCCTGCAGGTGACCTCTTGATGACCAGTGAAATGTCCACCTGCAGACCTCACTGAGGCCAGGAAGGAGTGAGCTGCTCCAAGGCTTTGGTTTTCAACCCCTCTCCTCAAGGCATCCCTTCCTTCCCAGCAGAGCAGTGCTGTGTCCTTGGGGACAACAGATGGGATCCAAGTGTGTGCTGCTGCAGCCAAGTGATGCCTGGAGGTGCCACCAGGACTGGCTGTCCTTGTGCAGGGAATTCCAGGTGCCCTGGGTATTGCTGTGGCAGGGCCATCCCTGGGGATGCAGCTCTCCGGAGAGCAGGGCTGGGATCTGCCGGGCTAATTAGAAGGAAGATTAAATAGAGCTGACAGGGAGCTTTAATTGGTGAGATAAAAACATGGCTGGCAGGGAGGGACCTTCCCCATGAAATAACAGGTGAGAGGTGAAAACAAACCATTTACTGATAACCTGGGAGAGGAGAAAACAAAGCATTTATTGATGATCTGGGAAAAGTGAAAACAAAGCATTTATTGATGATCTCGAAAGGTGAAAAAGCATTTCTTGTTAATCCAGGAAGGAATCCCTCAGCTTGCTCAGTCACTCACCCTGTTCTTTCACTTGGGTAAGTTCACATCTTTCTGTGCAGAGTTTTGGGGAGGGTGGGGAGGCCCTGGCACAGGTACCCAGAGCAGCTGTGGCTGCCCCTGGATCCCTGGCAGTGCCCAAGGCCAGGCTGGATGAGGCTTGGAGCACCCTGGGACAGTGGAAGGTGCCCATGGAAGGGGTGGGACAGGATGAGCTTTAAGATTCCTTCCAACCTAACCCATTCCATGATTCGATGATCCCACAGCTGCTGCAGTCATTCAGGAGCTGTGCAAGGAGCTGAGCTGTTCCCTAAAGCAGGAAAAGCTGTCAGGATTCTTTTCTCTGCAAACCCCTCACCCCCAGCTCAGGAGATCCCATCCCATTCCTGCTCCATCCTGCCTCAGCACAGCCCTCTGGAGCCACCCCGTTCTGGGTGACAGCTTCCAAAAATCCCGGCTTTCCATCCTCCCTGGACTTCCAAAGCTGCCGTGTGTAATTAGTCCTTAGGTCTCAATTAAGCCCTTCGCCGTGGGTCCCACCCTGTTTCTCCTGTCGCTCCTCCCCTTCCGATGCAGTCTGGCTGTTTTCCTGGCAGGGATGCTGCCACAGCTCGGGATCTCTGCAAGCTGGGGCTCTGGGGAGTGCTGGAATCTGGGTCTTGGGTACAACCACCCAGACACCAGATGGGCTGGGAGCAGCTGATGTGGCACAGAGGGTTTGTCTTCCTTCCTTCTTGCTTTTCCCAAGGATGCAGTGCTGGAGCAGCCCCTCTCACACAGGTGGGATCCAAATCTCCCTTCCCAAATTCCCCCTTCCCAATGGCTCTGCTGTACCAGCTCCTTCTCGTGCTGGCAGAACATAAAAATTCCAGTGCAGCCTTAAAAAATGATCCAAACCTTCAACTGACCAAGTGCAGCTGCCAGCCTGGACATAAAGCAGCAGGGCTGGATAATTTCCCTGGATTTATGGCCCACCTTGATGGGCATTTCTATGGGCCTTAGGTAGATCTGCAGGAGCCAGGCTCATAAGACAGGGAAATACACTGAATTACCTCTCTCTCTGGGCTACTTCTCAGGAATATTTCTGGCCTTGGGCAAATGTGAAAAGACCAGGACTGAGACAAATTGCTCAGCTCCCCGGGATTAAGAAAGGAATCATTATTTTGGACCGTGTGGATTGGAAGCCAATTAATATTAGTCTGTGGCTGTCTTTCCTACTGAGCAAACTTCAGCTTGACTGAGTGGAACAGAGCTGAAAAATCCTGTGCTGGTCCAGGGGCAAGAGCAGGAATAACTGGGCAGGCAGCAGGGGGAAAAATCCAGTCAGGAAACCACCAGTGCTTTTATTTGATGGATAACAAGAGGCATTTTGGTGCTGTTTTACAGATATCTAAATATCTGTGTTTGCAGGGCTCTGTTTAACCTGCTCCTGACAGGACCTTTGTGCCCTGCACTCAAATGCACCAAAAAAAAAAAAAAAAAATCCTCGAGAGTCTTTCCAAAGAGTAGAAGCAGAAATCCAAATCCCAGGGGTGAATTCCCAAGGCTGCAATCCCAATATATGGGTTTTTTGGTTCAAGTGTGCAGCAAGCCTTGAAGAGGGGAAAAAAAAATTATGACTAAGGACCCAAAAGGAAAATCCAAAACAACACAAAAAAAGGAAGAGGTGGGAAGATGATGGACAGTTACTGTGGAAAATGGAATTTCAAAATTATCCTTTCCCCTGTCCACCCATAGCCTTGTGCCTGGAAAGGAAAAGGAAGGAGAAGAGGAAGCAAAACTGCGACAGGAGGGAATCAGACCATGTAAGGAAAAGAACTGAATTTAACTGGCACATGCTCTAATCCTTAGTTTATTTCTGGTTAAAAATATAGCAATCCAGTGCAGTGTAATAAGAAATCTGCTGAAAAGGTAGCAGAGAAACAGCTAAAACAGAAGCAAAGCAAAGCTGAGTCCACGAGTCCGGGCTGGATCCAACAACTCTGGACGTGAATGTCGGGGAGGGCTTTTCCCTCCTTCCCCACCCCCAAAATCTCCTGGGAGGGTCTCACCCCCCTCGGGAGCTGCCACCCTCCTGCACCCTTCTCCTGCTGCAGCTGCAGGGGGGGATGAGGGTGGGATTTGGTCCCTGGTCCTGCCAAATCCCAAAGGAGCCGTGGGAGCTGCTGGTGGGGGAGCACCGAGGGGAGGGATGGGAGCTCTGGGAACGCCGCTGCCCAGGGCTGGAGCTGTGAGCACGCTGTGATCGGCACCAGGACAGCTCAGAACAGGGATACGCATCTTTAATGAGTATGCAGATTATCCGTGGGGACAGGGAGGGGACAAAAATCAAGGCAGGCATAGTACAAAGATGGTAGAAACGAACAAATTAAGTGACATAGAAAAAAAAAGAAAAAGAAAGAAAATACATCTTTAGAGGCTGCCATTGCCAATGATGTTTGGTTTGATTTTCTTTTTTTTTTTTTTTTCTTCTTTTTTTTCCCTTTTTTTTCTTTTTTTTTTTTTTTTTTTTCTTTTTTTTCCCTTTTTTTTTTTTTTTTTTTTTTTTTAATACAGGGACATGTTGGAAGCTGGAATATACATCCTGCATTACAAAGTGCAAAATACTACATGCTCAGAGCCCAAGCATGATGTCTGAAACAGTCCACAGCAAGATGTAAGAGACAAACCCACCACCCTCCTCCTCCTCCTCTCTGGGACATGCTCCAGGTGCTCCTCCCCAGGTGCCTTTGAGAAACAGTTGGATTTTTGCTTGGTTTTGTTTTATTGTCATCCTCAGTGGATTGGAATTGAGCCCTCTGTCCCCTGAACCTCCCCACCCTGCTCCCTGTGCACATTTTTTGGGATGGGCTGGATGCTCCTCACCAGCACGGCACCACCAGCCACTCCATCTGTGCTGCTGGAGGTGCCTCCAAGGTTTTTTTTTTTGGGAATTTTTAGCCAGGAGAAATTGGCTGTGAATTAAAAGTAGCTCTGGGTGGTTTTCCTGCCTTGCCATGGGTGAGGAGCAGCCTGGGGAGGAGGAGTGAAGGCAGGAGGGTGCTGGGGCTGCTGCTCACACCTCGTGTTCCCTATTCCCCCCCTGCCCCGAAGAATTCTGCAAAAAGCCAATTTTTGTTTTATAAACGAGGATCAGAACAGGGCCTGTTCTGCCATTTTCCCATCCAGACAGGGTTCATTCCTTCCCTGTGCTCCTCTCCTCCTTCTCACAGCAGCATTCCTCCATTTCCAAAAGGTGAAAAGCCTGATTTTGCTTTTCTCTCCCATTTATCATTAAAGCTGTTGTGCATTTTCCTGGGAAACTCAGCCTGGAGCATCCCAGAACCCGTCCCCACTCCACCCAAACTCTCCCCATGGTCCCCTCGTCTCATCTCCATTTTGGGGTTCATTGCTGTTGTTACAAAGACAATTATTTCCTTTTGGGCGGGGGGGGGGTGAAGGGAAGGGAAACAAGGTTTTTTCTTTTGTTGGGATTCCTTCTCATCCTTCCCAGTGTTGGGGGGGCAGAGTGTTGATAGCATTTTGCCATGCCACACAGCATAGTGTTATACAAGCAAAGAATTTTGGCTAAAATCCAAAAAACATTACCCAGGAAAAAAGGCAAACTGTGAGTGAGACTCGATCATTTGTTGTTCTTCTGTGAAAAGACTTGGAAATTGTCAGAGGACAGTTCGAGTTACGATTTTTCCCTTTGTTTTTTTTTTTTGTTTTGTTGTTGTTGTTGTTTGGTTCTGGTTTTTTTTTTTGTTTTGTTTTTGTTTTTTTTTTTCCCCCCATTCATACATGTAACTGTTATTTTTGCAAACAAGACAGTCTTGAATTAGATGAAAAAGTTAATAAACAAAATGGCGACTCCAATATTTAGTAAGATCACCATGACTACCAGGATGGGAGCTGAACCCTGCAAGAGAAAAAGAAAGACAGGAGTTAGATGGATCCTTGGAATTCTGCAGGGATTCCAGGAGAATCTGGGGAGAATCCAGGAGAATCTGCTCTGGGGAGTCCAGGCAGCTCTGGGGATGAACAGATCCCAAGTGACACCTCCCAAAGTGCCCAGGAACCCTTGGAGGATTTTTGAAGCTGCCAAACAAACACTTGGCTGTACCCCCTGATGGATCATGGACCATCCCATGCCACTTCCATAGGAATTCTGGCCTTAAAAACACAACTAAAATTGATTGTTTATTAGGTGGTCAATGAAAAGGAAAAAAAAAAAAAAACCAAACTAAAAAAGCGGGTTATATGGGATCTTAGAGTGGTTTGGGGATGGCTTGAAGTGTCCAGGACATTTCCCAGTAAACACAGTTGTTTTCCAGGTATCCTGGACATCAGGCCAGCACATGGGGGTCCATGTTCAGGCAGTATTTTGGGAATGCTCTAATAACCTTTCCTGAGTTTATATGGACCGAATGAAGCTCCTGGGAACCACCTGGCAGTGTCCAAGGCCAGGTTGGACGGGGCTTGGAGCACCCTGGGATGGTGGACGACGTCCCTGCCATGGCAGGGGTGGGATGGGATGGGCTTTAAGGTCCTTCCAACCCAAATCATCCCAGGATTCTGTGATTTCACCTGGAAAGTATTGCAGGAACCCCACTGCAGCTGCCCTGTGCACACCCCCACCCCAGCTGGGCTGAACATCCCAGAAATGGTTCAGTCCCTTGGGGAACATCCATTGCTTCCCCTGGAGCACGTGCTGGACAATCCCGTGGGACCCCACCAACATCCCAGGAACATCAGGGCACTGCAGCCAGCCCTGCAACACATCCTTCTGCAGGACACCGGTCAGGAAAACATCCCTGGCACCTCATCCATCCTGGCACCTCATCCAGCCTGGCACCTCATCCAGCCTGGCACCTCATCCCTGGTGCCACGGCGCGAGCGTGGCTCGCACAGGGCGGGTGCTGCTGGCAGCAGGTGGGTGGTTGCTTTTTCTTGGAGCCGCTGGGATCCTCAGCTATTCCTGCTGCATCCCAGCCCTGGCATGCTCCAAACGCTTTTCCCCAGGCTCCTGCCCCCTCCTGGCGCTCCCCACGTCGCTGGGATGGAGTGGGGACAGGGCTGGGCACCCCCTGGGAGCTTTTCCTGGGTGGCTCTGCGGAGCTGCTGGAAAAGGAACGGGAAAAAGTAGCTCCCGGCTGCCCGGGGATGGTTTCTGTTCCGAGCAGCCTGATTCAGCTGGCGTTTGGGAGTGGGTGGGAGCGAGGATGCTGGAGCCTGCTGGAAAGGCATATTTGTAGCTTAGCAACAGGGTCAAAGGCAGCCAAGCCAAGGCAGGGATTGCGGAGAGCAGCCAGGTACCCATCCAGGGCTGGTTGCTCCCGGCAAACCTCTCCTCCTGTGCCACGAAAAGCTTCCAAAGGCAGCAACCACCCCCTGTTCGCTGCTCCTTCCCTTCCCCAGCCCGACCGTGCCAAGCCCAGCCTTGCTGGCGCTGGGAGGGATTAGCTGCATTTCAGAAGATTATTGGGTTTTAGGGTTTTTGAGCTGCTGGTAATATAATAACAGATTGCAGGCGATTATCAGTGTCATTGTTTGCCTTGGCACGGCCCCGCCGAGGCACGGAACGAGCTCCTGCCCCGGCCCTGCAGCCAGAGAGGGCTCAGCCCCATTCCTGAGCTGTTCCATGGAGGAATTCCCTGCCAAAACAGCACAGCCAGTGCTGCCCCTGCTCCAATTCCCTGTTCCCTCACTTTGGGATGCAGCCGAGGTCCAGCCCTTTGGGGAGGGAGCTCAGCCTTCACTGCTCACTTCTCCCAAGAAACTGCAGCAGGACAAGAGGAACCAGCCTCGAGTTGTACCAGGGAGGTTCAGATTGGATATTCGGGAGTAATTCTTCACCCAGGGCAGTGGTGGAGTCCCCATCCCTGGAGCCACGTGGATGTGGCACTTGGGGACATAGAGCAGTGCTGGGGGAATGGTGGGACTCAATTCCAGAGCATTTTCCAGGTAAATGATCCTGCGGTTCTGTGATTTACACACAGGGCATCAAAGCTGTGCCCTCAGCTGGAAAATTGGGGGGATCCAACACCTGCTCACAGCAGCACCCCTGGATCCCCGTGCACAGAGGTTCTGCTCAGGCTGGGATCCTCATCCCAGCATCCTGCAGCCCTGGGCAGGGCAGGGGCAGGAGAAAATCCTTCCTTTGCCACTGCAGCCATGGGATCTGCCACATTTCCCATCCCAGGAACAGGATGACCAGGCTGGGGTGGGAACCAACCAACTCAAATTCAGCACACAAATTCTGCCTCCTTTTTACAGCTCCCTATTTTTAACCCCCTCTTCCCTGTGCTGCTGTCCAGGTGGGAATGGCAGGGAATGGCAGCTGCAGTTTTGCCCCTCCAAAGCTTCTGTTTTAGCTACAATTATGGATCCTGCTGCACTTCTCAATGCTTCTGTCTGCCTGATTTCTGTCTCATGAGGTCTCACTGCCTTCCCCTCTGCTCAGGGGGAAGGTTTGCCCTTCTCCCCTCCCATGGCAGGGATGGCCTGGCAGATGTGACAGCACTGAGCATCATTCCTGCTCCATGCCTGGGCAGGAGATGGATCAGTGCTGGAGCTGAGCTTGGGGGAGAGGCTTTGCTGAGCCCAGCCTGGCTGCAGGGCACTGAACTCCCTTTTGCTGCAGCAAAGAACCAGTGCTTTAAAACCAGTGGCTTTTAAACCCTTCCCACTGTGTTCCAACCTCCAACAGGAGCCTTTAAAAAGAGGAGACACAGCCCCTGATTTGCAGCTTTGCCTGTTGCTGTCACAGTTTGATGGGGCCAAATTTCAATTTTTTTTACAATAATATCCCTGGAGTCCTTCACAGGAGGAGGAAAACATCTGCCAAGAAAGAGAATCTACACCAATATCAGCTGGGCAAAAGGATCCTTCTCTATCAACAGGTTGGATCTTCAAGGATTTTTAAACTTTGTTTCCAAGCTTAAAGAACAGAAACTTAGACCTTAACCCCATGGAAACACTAAAATAGGAATAAGCCATGGTTATGGCCCAGGAGTAATAACGGTAATTGTAGCTGTAGAGTAATTCCTGCCCCCTCTGCCTTGTTTGTTTTTGTCCTGGAACTGTTGTGTAGCAACTCCGGAGTTTTTCTGGGAATACGATGGACAGCTGGTTTACAAATGCAATTGTGGCATAATTAATTTAAGCATTAGCAATCCATTATTATCTGTTATCACAGGGTACAAGCTCTGCCTCTCTGCCATGGAAACCAGAGTGCAGGTTACCTAGGAATCCCTCCGGGATCTATTAAGTGTAATTACTAAGGACTTGGATCAGCAAAAAAAAAAAAAAAAAAATTTAAAAAAAAAAGATATGCACCATTTTCCAGCCTCAGCACTGCAGAAAGGGCTGCAAACTTAGCAGCTTGGTGACATTTGTGCTGAATTGTCACATCCTTGCCAGGAACAGGCTCTGTGAAATAGTTAAGAAGCATTTAGCAAAGAAAACATCAGGGAGCCACTTGGCTTTCTCCAGCGGATTGCAGCAGCTCCCGTGGCTCCAGGAAGGGGCCCAGGAGATGCTAGAAGTGCTTGTGTGAGTGAAAGTGAGTTGGGTGGGATGGAAAACCTGCTTCTAGGGGGGAAAAAAGGCTAAAAAAATGAGAGGTTATCCTCTTAGAGATCCTTTAGCCTCTTAAAGAACTGATTTGTCACCCCTGGTTCAGTCCTCACCTTCCAGGTGCTGGGACTGAGCTCAGTGTTTGTTTAGGGATGTTTGAAGCTCTCATTTTAAGATTTTTATTCTAAAAACAGCAGTCAAAATTTAGTTCTTAATGCAGTCAAAAGCTGGTATTTGGCCCCAAATTTTCCAAGCTAAGGTATGGAATTGGGCTCAACCCTCATATCCAGTGATAGGAGCAGAGCCAGGAAGGTGCTCCCAAGTACATCAAAGGCCCTGGAGATGAAAAGGCTTTGAAAAGGACCCTGTCGAGTTGAACATCCCATTTCTCTCTGAAGATTATTTACCTCAGGTTGTCTGAACACGAAAGGGATTAGAGGAGGAACAGTTTGTGATTATTATTTGTCTTAAGAAGAGACAACCCCTGCAGCAATGCTCAGCCCTGCCCCATTCCAGAGCTGTGATGGCAACAGGACTCCTCTTCCTCCTTCCTGCCATGAAGTGTTGGCTTCTGTTTGTCTGGGCACACGGTTGCCAGCTGGGATTGAGGTGAATCTGGTTGGCTGAGAGGAATAAGGAAAACCCAGGAATGATTGTGCTGGGATACCTGGGGATGGCTCCCAATGGGGAAAGAAATAAATGGGAAAACCTGAAAGGCCACAGGGATAAATCACAGGGTTTAATCCCAGGGAGGTTAATGCCAAACAAGTCCCTAGGTCCCTTGATCCCAAAGCAGCCAAATGGGAACACCTCCATGCACAGGGAAGCTTCACACCCCAAACAGGTTGGGGTGGAGAAAACACCCAGGTTTTATTTCTAACTCATTTTACAACCTTTAGGGCTAAAGGTGCCTGAAAAAGGGAAATTCATCTCCACCTGGGATGAATCCCCTCAGGAATAACCTGGCAGCTCTGGCAAGCATGTCACCCTGTTCTTCTAAAGTTCTTCTAAGCCTTCTGATATTTACATTTTTGTAATGGAGTCTCTCACGCACTTTTCGTATAAATAATGATTGTTTTGCTTTCCTTTCTGGAGGAAAAGAGAACTGATAGGCTGTTGGTTTGACCAGTGTGGTTGGAAAGGTAGCAATTTCATCCTCCAATCCACGGTCACTTTTGGAATTCTATAAACACCCAAGTCAGAAATAAACGTGCCTTTTTTTTGCCTTAGACATCTCAGCGTGTGAGCGTCGTTCATTTCTTGTCGTATTGCAACAACAAGGGGAGATCCAGCGGGGAGGTGCCGGTGCCGGGCTCCATCCCTTTTCCCGTGCCGGGGGAGGCTGTGCCGAGCCCCCTGCCCGCACCCCCGGCTCCGGCAGCTCGGCAGCTCCCTGCAGATTGGCTGCTTGCTCCTGCCTTCCCCAGCGACAGCGAAACCTGCCCGCAATAGCTGCTGGCAAATCCGCCCCTCTGCCGCTCGCTGCCGGAGGAGGGAGGGAGGGAGGGAGGGAGAGGCTGCCGGGATCCCTCCCCGCCACCCCCGCGGGGGCACGGGGGGCTCTCGGAGATCCCTCAGCCGGGAGATGCCTTTAGAGCCTCTGCTGCGTTTCTTTCCCCGTGAATTTTTGCATTTGTGCTGGGGTTTGCTCCGTGTGATGCTGCGGGGAGCAGCCGGGGCTGGCTTTGAGCTGCTGCCCTCGCGTCCCTGGGATGCCATGGGACAGGGCACCGTGAGGGGCAGGGCCTGGAGCCCCCTCACACCCCCGGTGCCCTCAGCCCGAGCAGGGCGGTCCCTGAAGGCTCTGGGCTGCTGCCCTCGTGTTCCTGCGGTGCAGTGAGACACAGCACCATGAGGGGCCGGACTTGGAGCACCCTCACACCCCCGGTGTCCTCAGCCAGAGCAGGGAGGTCCCTGAAGGCTCTGGGCTGCTGCCCTCGCGTCCCTGGGATGCCATGGGACAGGGCACCGTGAGGGGCCGGGTGTAGGGCCCCCTCACACTCCCGGTGCCCTCAGCCAGAGCAGGGAGGTCCCTGAAGGCTCTGGGCTGCTGCCTTCGTGTTCCTGCGGTGCAGTGAGACAGAGCAACGTGAGGGGCCGGACCTGGAGCCCCCTCACAGCCCCGGTGCCCTCAGCCAGAGTCCCTGAAGGACTCTGTCCCCTGGCCGCTGCTGAGCGGGGACAGGGGACGATGGATCAGGCGGTGCCCGAGCCCGGCCCTTCCCACTGAGCTGCTCCGTGCCCAAAACGCTTCTCCTCCCTTCCAGAAGCAGCAGATGTGCAGCACCTGAAGGAAAGCAGAATCTGCTCCCTTCCCTTCCTCCCCAGCCCTGCCACGGGCTGTGGTTTGTGGGTAAAACGCTCACTGGCGTTTTAGGAAGCTCCTTTCCCTTTCCAGTCTCTCAATTCCTTTTTTCCTTTCCCGTTTTAGTTCTCAAAGAAACCATCCAGGCCCAGGCTTTGTGTCTTGTGGGCCTTTAAGGCCAGGAAGGATGGGGACGTTCCCATAAATCCCTAAATCCCACAGCACTGGCACTGGTCCTGCCACACTGGCTCCTGTTTTCCTCTGCCCCAGTGCTGACAATTGCTCAGAGTTTGTCCTCTGGGTGCTGGGGTCAGTGCCCACAGTGGCACAGAGAGATTAGGTGGCCTTAAATGTCTTTTAAAGCATTTGTGTGGCTCAGTGACCCCAAAACCCCCAAATCCCCTGAGAGCCAACACGAAGCAGTGCTGAATTTCATTGACGTTACTGAGCCGTGGCCTCAAGAAATGACCTTTATGCGAGGGTTTTTCAATTCCTGGTGTGCAACCCCAACAAAGGGGGGTGGTTCTGGGAGCTTCTTTTAAAGGACTGGGGAAAAGTGACAGAGGAGAACAAAGTTCCTACAGACTCTTCTGTGGAGTCTACATCCCTGCCTGTGTAGCTTTGGAAAACTTGGATTCAAGGCCCCGTGGCTCCCAGCTTGTTTTTCAGACAGGAATGAGGAGCAGTGATTTTTTTGGGCTGTGTTTTTGTGAGACCTGCACCCCCCACCCATTCCAGCACTGCCAGAGGTGTGCTGCCTCTGGAAGCTGGAGCTGCCACTCCAACACAGAGCCAAGCCCTGGGCTCATGGATAGCTTGTGCAGAGCTGGTTTAGGGCAGATTATTTTTAAAACAAGCTAAGCTGTGAGGGTGACCTCACTTCTGCTCAGGGATACCTCAGGTAGGGCAAAAATAGCCACGCTCAGCTCCGAGCATCCCTCCTGCTCATGGCAGCTCCTTTCTCTGGGAGCCCAGCTGGTGGGAGCTGCCCTTTGAGCCCCTCCTTTTGAGGGAGCTGGCACTGCTGGCACCCAGAGGAGAGGCAGTGAGCAGGCTGGAGCAGTGTGGGCTCTCACACACCTGCCCACAGCTGTCTTGCCCTGCCAGGCCGCAGGGAAGGGATATTTCAGGCCAGCATGGGGAACTGGGCTTTTGGGAGGATTGGGGAGCCTTGATTTGCTGTGGGGGGATGTGGAGCTGGAGCAGGATGCAGGGGGGGTTGCAGGATGGAGTGTGTGAGTGTCCTGTGCTGCGTGGAGATGGATGTGGGGTCTGTGGGATTAATCCTTCCCCCTCAGCCTTCCCCTCCTCCTCCTCAGGGATTCACCACTCCCTGAAGTCTGAAATGCTTCTGATGGCAGGTGAGGGCACAGGTTTGGGCAGGAGGTTGGAGCACAGATCCTGCACCTCCCATTCCTCCCCTACACCTTCCCCTGCTCCTGTCCAGCCACCCCCTCTCTGCCAGGGCACTGGAACAAAACCCTGCTAGCACTGTGCAATTCCTGCTAGAACAAATTGTTGCTGGCATTGTGGGTTATTTAAATCCACATATTATCTCTTCCTCTGTATTACATTAGCTTCCTCCCAAACCTTCGCCATCTGTTCCTCCCTCGGTTATGAATGTGAGAAAACTGAACATGCTGCTCCACAGCTCCAGCACTTCCAAAGTAGGATGTGCATCCTAATGGCTTTTCCATGCACTTCTCCACGCAGGCTGGGCCCTTCCTTAGTGGCCAGGACTCACTGGGAATAGCCAGGAATGTGTTGGTGGCAGTTTGCCTCCAGCCTTGTGGAGAGAGGTTTACTGTGACAGCTCTGAGGTGGGAGCACATCTGATGGGCTGGGTGGGGACACAGTCCAGGACTGCTTGTGCCACTGATCTCCCCAAAATCACGTGGCTCTCAGCGAGGAGAAACTGTGGTTTCATCCCTCCTGGGGACCCTCTGTCTCCCAGGTTGTGTTGTCAAAGGTGCTGGAACATCTGTGCATCCCACAGCCCTGCCAGGGCTGTGTCTGTGCAATTACTGCTGCTGCTCTTCCCCTCTGGGAGCCTGTCAGGCTCCTAATGCTGCCTGTCATGTCTCCAGTGCTTCCCAGGCAGGCAAGGACAGCCTGCATGGTTCTGGTTTTCCAGGGCTGCAGGATGTGTTCTGTGGAGCCCCCGTGCTCAGCTTCCCCTCGGTGCTGGGTGGGAGCTGCTGAGCCTGAGCCCAGGGACGGGGAGGCAGAGAGCTCCAGGGCTGCTGGGGGGGATTTATCAGCAGGGAAGCTGGGGCAGATCCATCCTTCCTGCATTCTGGGCTGCTCTGGGGGGGGGATTTATCCACATCTCCAGCAGGGAAGCTGGGGCAGATCCATCCTTCCTGCATTCTAGGCTGCTCTGGGGGGGATTTATCCATAGCTCCAGCTAGGGCAGATCCATCCTTCCTGCAACCCAGGCTGTTCTGTGGGGGATTTATCCACAGCTCCAGCAGGGAAGCTGGGGCAGATCCATCCTTCCTGCATCCTGAGCTGCTCCCTCCTCTCTCTGCACCTTGGCTCTGCTGGCAGGTGCTGGAGGAGCAGGGACACTGCAGCCATGGCAAATGTCACCACACCTCACACACCTCGATGCCTCTCGCCTGAATTTTCGGCCTGACTGACAAATTCATTTCAGTTTCGTGACCAGGCACCATCCTGTGCTCCCCTGACAGGGAGATTTAGCTCCTTCCTGCTGAAATGTCACCTCCTGAGCGTGACAGGTTTTCCATTTCTCCTGGGTAGGTCTGGGGCATCCTCATGGGACACCTCCAGCCCTGCCCTCTGTTTGGCACTGACTTGACAAGGGACAGTTTGGGGCAGTGGTGGCTTCCCCAGGGCTCCCAGCAGACCCTATCACCTCTCCTGTCAATGCCAAACCTACAGGGACAACAAGTGAGGAAGCTTCTAATGGGAAATCCAGGAATCCTCAAAAAACAAGATTGCAAAAAACCTAAAACCCACTCAGCTCAGCCTTCTCCTGAGGAGGTTCAGCTCTGTCCAGGTCCTGTCTGAGCTGGTGATGTCCAACCTCAGAGCCCCCCTCTCCAGGCAGTTCATTACAGCCCTCACCTCATTAGCCATGGTTAATGGCTCACCCTCCTTGACTTTAAGCCCATTAATTCTGTTCGTGGAGAACAGATTATTCCCTTCCACTCTGCAACAGCTTTTAAGATCACTCTGTCTTCTCTCCTGAACACCTTCCCAGCAGCCACTTCATGCCCAAAGTGTCCTTATCTCCCCCAAAATGAGGAGCCTGGGGTGGGATGTGTCACAAGGAGCTGGAGCAGCAGGAAGCTCTGTGGCCATAACCATAACCCAAGGAACATCACCAATGCCTTGCCTGCTCCTGCAGCTTTCCCACCAAATTCCCAGCAATAATGGATTTTTTATTGCTGGCCCAGGGGCTGGGCTGCCAAACTCCATCCTCCAGGGAAAACCCTACTGCTCCCACCACAGTCTGCAGGGAACACCCCACACCAACATCCAGCAGGATGGAAGAAGGGAGGAGAGGGGATTCAAGGCACAAACCCATGATAATTCACATTTTCCGAATTTCCCTCCCATCCCGCTCCACTCAGCCCCACAACAGCCCGAGGCTTTCAGGCCAGAATTCCACACCCAGTCCCCTCACTCACCGTACTGGATTTGAGCGCATCCCCACTGTCCTCTTCAGATTCTAGTGCAACAGGTAAAGATTTCTGTGGTGGGGAGAAGGTTAAGTCCCACCTCAGTAGCCGAGGTTCAGCTTTGTCCCCGAATCTCAGGTTTTCCAGTTTCTGCACTGTGGGCTCAGCAGAGGAAGCTGGCCTGAAATTCTCTTTGTTCTGGGACTTAGACCTCAGTCTCTGAACCCCGAAGCCCCGCTCTTCCCCGCGGTGCTCGTCAGCCACGCTCCTGCAGCCTCCCCCTTTGCTGTAGTGTCTTTTTTGGGTGTGAATCTCTTGCATATAAGAATCCATCCTCATGAGGGGCTTCATCTCCATCTCGTAATTGCTCATCTTCTCCTCGTCCAGCTCAAGCAGCTTGGAGCTCCCTGAGCTGTGGTTGTGGGACCTGTGGTGGGAAGTCCATGAAACCGTGGCTGGGGAATCTGTCCACCTCTCTCTCGGCTTGTGGTTGGAGGCCGAATGTTTGTGTCCCCCGCTCCGACCTCTGTAGTCTTCGGGGCCAGCGGTGGAGCCCAGCTGCCCGCTGCGCATCGTCCCGCTCCTCCCGGCGCGGCTCCCGCCCACCTTCTCTTCGCTCCAGCTGTTGGGGCGCAGGTAATCCCCGCCACGCCCCTCCAGCAACATCTGGATCTCGCCGCCCCTCTCTTCGTCCACCGAGACCTGCCTGGAGAAGTGGGCGCTCTTGTTCCTGCAGGAGGGGCCGAGGGGCGGCGTGGAGCAGGGGCTGGCGGGGAAGCTCTGCAGCGGGCTGTCCTCGGGGGTCAGGTCGGACGGGGTGGTCCCTTTGCGGTACAGCTCGGGGCTCTCTTGCTGCAGGGGCGTCCCGGTGGACAGGACCTCGATGTCATCGCTCGAGTTCTGCCGCTTCGGCCGCTGGCATTCGAGCCCTTCGGGGGCAGTCGTGGAGAGGAGAGAAGGGAGAGGGGAAGACAACAGGATTATTTCTGGTGCGTGGATGCCCCGAGGATTTTTCGTGGCATGGAACAGGGAGCAGAGGTTTGGGTAGTGGGGAGCAGCGGGGTGGCATTGGGACAGCAGTGTCACACTGCTGGCAGCACTGGTGTGACACCAAAGCTGCCCTCAGCCCTGCCCTGCAGCAATGGTTTTCCAACCCCAGAGGTGTGGAGAAGCCACCAGCAACGCAGAGCTGCTGGGAAGAGGTTCTGATGGTTTTTTGGGATCCATCTGAGCACATTTCCTATCAGTTCCCAGTGTGGAAGCATGGGAAGGGAAATGTGTGATGTGGCTGGTGGCACACCCTATGTTCTGTGTTTGTGTGTGCTGGGTGACTCTGGGACCACCCTGGGTGTGCTGGGGGACACCAGAATCACCCTGGGTGCCACTGGGATCACCCTGCGTGTGCTGGGTGTCACCAGGATCACCCTGGGTGTCACTGGGATCACTCCACACCAACAGCCCTCACCGCACTCCTACATGGGAACCACCTCAGTTTTCATCTGCTAGGTGCAGGATGGAAATGGCCACATCTAGGCAGGCGTACAAGAAAAACCCCACAAATCTCACATCTGAGAGCTTTCCTGCCCCACGCAGCCCAGCAGGACATGGAGATTTCCATGCTCAGCCCCAGGATGGGATGGAAGGACTGGGCTGGCCCCATTCAGGGCCACATGAGGCCAGCACCCCCCATCCTCCTCATCCCACTGGAGGCTCCTCATTCCTTCAGCTCAGAGACTTCCCAGACAGGGTCACCCTGGGATGGGCATCTCTGGAGGGGCTGAATGCCTTCTGCTGCTGGAGGAACACGGAACAAAAACCTCCAACGTGTTCATCACTGATGAAACACCAAATGATTTCAAGCGAGCTAATAGTGGTTAATTCTCCTTTCCCCCTCTCCAGTCATTCCCAGCTAAAGCCATGCTAAATTAGGTGAATAATTTGATAAATATATTAAGTGCCTAATGCCCCTGAAATGCATCTAATTGTGATTGCTATGGTGAGACAAGAAAAAAGTCTTGAAAAGGGAGAGCTCAATTTTCGTGCCATCGTTAAAAATAAATGCTCAGGAGTGCCTGCTCGGGTCTCTCCACTTCTGCTGAGCAATTTTCTCTCTTGGATCTTTTTGGGGAGCTGCTGGGATGTGTCTTCACCCCTGCCAGGATTGGGATACACACAGAGAATGCTGGAGTTTCCATTGGAGCACTGGCAGGGAGAGAAATAGTAAAAAAACTGCTTGGAAATCTACCCAAGCAATTTATGGGAAATGGTCTCCTAATGACTCGAGTTTTTGGGATGATACTCGCATAGTCCAGCATTCATTTTTTCCCTGTTTGTATGTGGGAGACTGAATCTCCTGGGATTTATCCAGAGCCCCTGAAAAATCCTGGTATTGGTGGGAAATTGCTGAGGAGAAAGGTGGAGCTCACCCCTCTGTTTTTCTGCAGAATATCTGTCTCTGGGATAAAAGACAAGATTTTTGGGGGCTCTTTCCCAGTCATTCCTGTCCCAGCCACCTTCCAAGATCCCAAATGGGAAGCTGAGGCACAGAGGGAATAAAGGATTTAATGTGAGAAAGCTGGAAAGTCACCTGTGGAAACAGGCTCACCCAGGATTTGGGGTGTCCCTGGTTTTTGGGCTTTATCTTCCCCAGTTCAGGGATTTTGCTGGAGTTCCAGGGAGTTGCAGGCTTCCCACCAGCTCCAAGGCCTCCAGAGCTGATGTCCAGCCCCACAACCAGCCACAGCCTGGCTACACCCACTGCTGCTGTTCCCAGAGCCCCAGAGAGGGGACAAGAAGCCCCAGAGATGCTCCCCACAGCCACACCAGGGAGATGTCATTGAATCCCCCTCATCCCAAACCTTCCCCAGCCCCAATCCGCAGGGGGCTCTGCCTTTCCTGGGTTAATCCCTGAGGGCTGGGGCTCTGGGAGGAGCAGGACCGGGGGTGCTGGGGCACAGCTGGGGCACAGCTGGGGCACTGCTGCCCCCCAGCCCCACAACCCGCAGGGATGGAGGCGTTTCCTTGCGCAGGAACTCCGCGGATGCACCGGGGCCCTTTCGGCACCCGAGGATGTGCAACAATTATCCGGAGCTAAAATTAGCCCCGGGCACGTGATGTTCCTGGAAGAAGGGTTGTGAGAGCGAAGGAGGATGCAGAGCACCGAATGTGGATTTCCAGCGGGATGGAGGCAGCCGAGCCCAGCCTCCGAGGCTTCAAAGCCAAAGCTGAGGAGCCACGTTTGGGATTTGGGAGCCTCTGGCTCTGTGTGCTGCTGTCTCCGGGGGGGACTCGGTTCTGCAGCACCACCCAAGCCTGGGTGATCCTGCTGTGTTCAGGAATTGGGATTGATGGGCAGCTGGAGATGCCCACAGCTGATGGGCATGGGAACCGTGGGCGAGAGGGCGTTGCAGGATACAAAACAGGAATAGTTTTGTTTTTACTTTCCAGGATACAAAACAGGAATTGTTTTGTTTTTACTTTCCAGGAGATGCAGCTGCCCAGGGGTGCCCAGGGCTGATGGTGAGGTGGGCACAGACCCCTCTGTGGTGTCCCACAGCACCCACAAACCCCTCCGAGGGGGGCACCCAGCACCCTTGGCACTCCCTGTGCCAGGTGGGTGGTACCTACACCCACCTCCCTGCCAGGAACACATCCAGCACCCAGCATCCCGTGGAAAGGGAGCACAGCCAGCACCCAGGGGGTGGGTGGCACTCAGCACCCACCACAGCACGTTGTGGGTGGCACTTGGAACCTGCAGCACCCTGCAAGGGAGCACAGCCACCACCCAGGGTCCTGAACGAGGAGGGCACGTCCAGAACCAACAATTCTGAATATGGGGGGCACAGCCAGCACCCACAATCCTGTACAAGGGTGACAAATCCAGCACCACAATCCTGAACAAGGGGAGCACATCCAGCACCCACAATTCTGTATAAGGGGGGCACATCCAGCGCCCATAATTCTGAATATGGGGGGCACATCAAGCACTCAAAATTTTGAAAAATGGGGGCACACCCAGCACCCACGATCCTGTGCAGGGTGGGCACACAGAGCCCCTGCAATGCCCGCAGTGTGGTGGCAGCTCCCTCATCCCCGCCCCGGCTGTGCCCAGCCCGAGGTGGCGGCTCTGTGGGTGACACAGCCACTCGCACCCATCACCTGCCCGAGCGGCTCCGCGGGCGCTGCCAGCTCTCCCGGCACATCTGGGATGCTGTGCTTGTTTTTTAATGCGCTCTAAGTGGAACCGCCTTCCTTCCCTCCTCTCACCTCTCACACAACCCCCCAGACAGAGCTCCAACCACACAAACCCCAGCACGAGTGAAGCGCCACGGCCCCGTCCAGGAGCTAGTAAAAAATGTATTACCTAAAAATATCTTTCCAAGAGGTGATTTAAACCAGCAAAGTCTCCTGGCAGGAGGAAATGGAGATGAAGAATATCTCAGGGCTGGAGAAGCCCCTGGGAGCACGCAGCCCTGCGAGAAAGCTCAGATCTGCCGTGTACAGATGGGGCTGGGCAGGAGGAGGGATGGGCGGGTGTGGAGCGGGCTGAGCCTCCTCCCGCAGCCGGGAGATGCGGGGGATGCAGGGGATGCTCGGAACGGCCCTGCCTGGGGATGTGCCCCGGCTCAGGCTGCTGCAGCCCCAAAGCTGAGCCATGGGATACCCCGGGCCGCCCCCGCAGCGCGGTGAGGCGAGCACCGGGCCGGGCTGGGCCAGCAGAGCCGATGGTCCCTTGTCCCCGAGCTCGGGAGCAGCCCTGAGTCACCGCGGCAGCCGCTGGAGCAATTAAAGCCAGTGAGTAATCCTCGCTGAGCTGGGAGGGGGAGAACGATGACAGCCGCCTCCCGAGGAGGGCTCGGGGCTGGAAAACTTCTCTATAAACCCAGCCACACTTTAATTATGATGTTAATTATTGCTGGGGGGGCTAGAGCGTCCCATTCCCAGTCGGCTGCAGACCCCGGGCCGACCCCGGCTCGGCTTGGGCTCTGTCCTCCCCGAGCCTTTGGTGAGCAAAAATGTGAATAAATCAACAAGGAATGGTGAAAATGATGGGAGGAAGGAGGGAGGGAGGGAGGGAGGGGAAGGAAGGAAGGAAGGAAGGAAGGAAGGAAGGAAGGAAGGAAGGAAGGAAGGAAGGAAGGAAGGAAGGAAGGAAGGAATATCAAATGTGGATTTTCCCAGTGACTGATTTGCATGGCCGAGGGAAGGGTCAGGTCCCACGGGGTTCAAATTTTCCAAAGCAATCAGGAACTGCACAAGCCATGGGTGTAAAGTCATTGGTGACCTCTGGGATCACCTGTTTTGCATCCAGAGCCCTTGTTGGGCTCTTTCTTTGCAACCATCAAGGGCTATGAACTAAAAACTTGGGGAGAAAGAAAAAACACTGGGAAAACAGTATTGAACAAGGTGGAACTGCTGGATATTGACAGCCCTGCCCTAAATCTCCCAAACCCTGGTGTTCCATGGAGCTTTCCCCCTCCAGGAGCTCCGGTGGGGATGGGGAGCTGCGGGCACAGGCTGAGCCTCCAGCCAGGGCAGTTTGGAGGGCTTGGGGCGTGTGAGGGCTGCGAGGGCAGGGCCTGGCAGGGACTGACCGTTCTCCCTGTGCTGGAAGGAAGGTGAGAACTCTTTGGCAGTGATCCTGGCGATCCGCGCTTCCTCCTGCGCTTTCTGCGCCGCCGTCACAGCCGCCTCCGCCTTGGCCCTGGAGTGAGAGGTCCTGCAAGGCAACAGAGACACCAGCACCCCGTTAGGCAGCTCCTCTCTGCCACAGGAAACCCCAAATTTCCCCCACAGGTTCCTCCAAAACCCTTTGGCTGTGAGGGAGGAGCTGCCAGCAGAGCTTGGGGCTGGCTGGGGAATGGGGGATTTTCCAACACCTTCACGAGCTGCTCCTCAGCCTGGAAATCACCCAGGAAATTCAGATTTATTCCCCCAGGGTCCCTCCATCCCATTTCCCACCCCATCCCAGCAGCTTCTCCGTGCATCTCCCACGAGCCTCCAGGGTTGAATTTAAAGCTGGTTTGGTTGTTTTTTTAACCAAACCCGTTTTTTGGGGATTAAAAAAAAAAAAAAAAAAAAAAGAACATTTCCACGCCCACCCCCAGGTTTTGCGTAAAATGCTGGATGTAAATAAACACTGGGAGCAGAGGTAGGAGCGGGGGGTTCGGCTCTGGAGCCGCCTCCACCATCCCTTCACACATTTTGATCAGGGCACTTTTCCCTCTGGATCAACAACTGTCCCCTGCACTCGCTGATGATTCCCCAAAGGCTTTTTTTGGATGGCATTTCATCCCATCACTCAGGATTTACAGCTTCTCTGAGAGCATCCTCCGGAGGTTGCTTTTCCCCCTTTTCCCCTTATCCGAGCTATCCAGGCACTTTCAAAAATTCCTGCTCCCACCCTAGTGCAGGCAGGGTTATAAATAACTCCGCTGATTTCTTTTCCCTCCAAAATCAGGCCCTCCATCTCCTTTAATCATTTTTTTCTGCCTCTCTCTGAATTCCCTCTAATTTCTCGACATCTGCGTGGAGAGGGAGTGCCATTTCTGACAGGCTCCTAAAAATGGAAAACAGGGCCAGGAATGTGCCTGCTTTGGTTGGAAGCATCACCAGGGCTGGGGAACAGGGTGTGAGTGTGGCTGTGCTGTCACCTGTGTTCGCTCCTGACACTTCTCAGGTCTCTTTGCTCTAATAAATGCTTTATTCCCAGCCATTGGCTGCTTTGGAGTAGCCCTGGAAGAAAATCTGAGCTGTTTTCCAGAGTTATTGGGGGTGGTGGAGGGGCTGTGGTGATGCTGCTGCAGGTCCTGAGGGTTATCTGTGATTAATGCACTCAAAAATTTGGTTTAAATGGGTTTTTACCCAACTGGAGTCCAGAGCTCTCCCTGCCCAGCACTCGGTGGGGTCAGAGGAGGGGACAAAGGTGTCACAGCCCATTCCCTGTCAGGTATCCCAGTCCTGCTCTTTGAGGAGGAGCAGGGATGCCCCAAGGAGGAGCTGCAGCAAACTGCTGGGAGAGGAGGTGCAGACTGCTCCCGTTTTTCACGGAATCATGGAATGGTTTGGGTTGGAAAATACTTTAAGATCCATCTCATTCCAACCCCTGATGTGGGCAGGGACAGCTTCCACTAGTCCAGGTAATTCCAGCCTGGCCTTGGACACTTCCAGGGATCCGAGGGCAGCCACAGCTTCTCTGGACACCTGTGCTGGGGGCCTCAGTACTCTCACAGATATTGGGAATTTCTTCCCAATATCCCATCTAAATCCACCCCTTTTCAGCTTCAAGCCATTCTCCCTCTTCCTGTCCCTCCATGCCCTGTCACAGTCCCTCTCCACGTCTCTTTCCAGCCACATTTTTGGCACCAGCATGCTCTATGGGAAACACTGGTGCATCAAACCTGTGCATTAAACCATCTGAGCCACCAGGAGGTTAAAATTCACATTCTGCCTCTCTGAGCTCCTTAAACCTCTGGCATCTTCCAGGGCAGCTTCTCGGGAACGCGGATTTGAAGCTCCTCCATCCATTTATCCCCTGGCTGGGGCTGTCCCTGCCTCCCTGCAGCCCTTCCCCAGGTCCCTGCTGGCCCAGCTGAGGATGAACAGCTCTGGGAGTGCCTGGCCTGTGCTCAGCAGCCGGGATTACACTCTGCTCCCCACACCCTCCCTGCAGAGGCGGCTGGAGCCGCTCAGCCCTCTCTGCCTGCCAGGGAAGGAGGCTGGAGCAGCAGCCTGTGCTGTTCCAGGGGCTGGGGCACACGGGGGTGGTGGCAGAGCAGGAGGTGACGCTGGAGGAGCCCACACGGAGTCACCACCTTGGGCTGGGCACCTGGGATGGCCCGGACTCTGCTCCTCCCTGCGGCATTCAGCACTCCTTGATGGAATCACGGGGTCATTGAGGGTGGAGAAGGGCTCCAGGATCACCAAATCCAGCCTGTGCCCCATCCCCACCTTGTCCCCAGCCCAGAGCACTGAGTGCCACCTCCAGGAATTCCTGGGACACCTCCAGGGATGGGCACTTCAACCCTCCCTGCGCAGTTCCAGTGCCTTGCCACCCCTTCCAGGAAGAAATTCCTGCTGATGTCCAACCTAAATGGATTAAAATCACCACCCCTGGGGGATGGATGCATTTCCACCCCTGGAAAACTCACTCCAAAGACTCCTGGATCTGCTCATCCCCACAGACTCCCAGGATCAGCCCAGGAAGTGCAGGGAATTTAGAAAATGAAAACTTGGGGCTTTGGCTCAGAAAAGGTTAAAAATCAATCCCATCAATGAAGGGATGATCCAAATACACTGGGGGAGAGATGGATTCCCTGGAGCAGAGGGGACACACTGGATTCCCCAGAGCAGATGGGACACACTGGATTCCCCGGAGCGTCACCAATTAATTGTTTGTAAAGCTCCCTGAGACGCTGGCAGGAGTGAAAAGCAGAATTATGGAGATCCATACATTGCATAATAAAATCCATAAGTATTCCCAAATAAATGCCAGTAATCCAGTTAGTGCTCGCATGACTTTGTCACATCCTAAATTTACCAGCTGTCTTCTTTCTCCATGCCTGCTGCTCGTGGCGTGTGCTAAATCTTAATTCCCACTTAATTGCCTGGAGTTTATTTCCCTGGAAAAGTGGGGTTTTTTCTTCCCTGACACATGGACAGGGCCTGATCTCATTGCTCTGTTCCTCCTTCCCTAAGCACTGCCATAAATTTTTTTCTGGGATGGAGACGCCAAACTGGAGACCACAGTGAAAATAAGGCTGAGGCCTTCCCCATAAAACAGAATTATGGGATGGTTTGGGTTGGAAGGGACCTTAAAGATCATCCTGTTCCTGTGGGCTCATGAAGGGATGGAGGGAAGAGTGATGCAAGAGGAGCTGTTTAATTCCTCCCACCTCTGAGCATCCCCAGCCTCCTCCTCCAGCTGGGATGAATCCAAGAGCCTGGGATAGTGGAAGGTGTCCCTGCCCATGGCAGGGGGGGAATGGGATGGGCTTTAAACTCCTTCCAACCAAAGCATTCTATGATTCCAGGATTTTAGTGCATTTCACCATCCAAGCTGAGGTGGAGGAGGGTGTTGAGGCAAAGATTGGGATTGGGAAGAGTCAGAGGGAGGGAAGACCAGGATGGTTTGTGGCTTTTGAGACCCCAGTTTGGGTCTGAGGGCAGGGAGTCCCTGCTGGGGCTGGCCTGGAATATTTTATTTATTAATTTTTTGCCAAGCTGACTCACTCTTCTCGGAGGATGAACGGGCAAGTGGTCAAACTGGCAAGGGGAGCTGGCAGGAGGCAGGGAAAAATCCCAACCAACCAGATTCCCGGAAATCTTTGCAGATCTCCTGTGATTTGGCCAGAGCTGGGAGGGGAAGGGATAATACCTGGGCCTGCTTCCTAATGCCAAGTTTATCAGCTCCAGATAATCTATAAGAAGCTGGAATCAACTGATTTGCAAGGAAGAACTTGGCTTTTTAGGAATTCTAACAGTGGCTCCAGGCTGGCTTGGAGTGAGCAAGGAGTGGATCCAAGGATTCTGCTGCAAAGCCACTGCGGGGCTGGTTTAGCCAAAAAGGGGTGAACTCCCAGCAAAACCCTCAGGGATTCAGGAAGGAAGGAAGCAAAATTCAAACCAGGTGAGGCTTGAGAGGTGTTTTGGTTCCAGGAATGCTTTGGCAGGAGAACAAGTGGGACAAAGTGCTTTAAAATTAGTCTGGAAATTAGAGCGAGTTTGCAGAAGCCCAGAAAGGTTTCAGAGCTGTGAATGTGACACCTGGAATTGCCAGGATGGCACCCGAAGCCACAAAAAACCTGGATCACTGGTGAGTCCTTCTCCATTTGCTGTTTGAGTCCATCCAGGGGAGGGACTTGCCCCCTTTATTCCTATTTTCCAGCGTTTTTGTACAGAAAATACATTCCAATAAAAACCAGGCAGCAGACACTGAGCAAACTCATGCTTGGGGTCAAAGGGAGCTCTGTGCTGAACACAGAGAGAAATAAAAATTATTGGGAATGTTAAAAAGCATCCTATGGGTAAGATTTCTGGGAAAGAAGGGCTATTTCCCAAAATTCACATGGCAGCTCTGGCTGCTCTTTTCCAAGCAAACTTCTCGCTTCCCTGAGGGAAGTATGAAATTCCTGCTTTATTGCTGGGATCCTGTGCAGGGATGGAGATGCTCAGCTCTCCTCCCCCCCACACCCAGAGCTCTCCCATTATCCCAACTCCTGGAGCACCACCAGGCTGCAACAAGTCCCAAACCCTTTCCAGCCCACGAAAGGACCCCGTGGTCCCTATTTTCATGGAAAACCTGGAAGTTGGCATGTTTCCTACAGGCTTCTCTGGGAGTGGTGAGGATGGAGTTAAGCTGGCAGTGAGCTCATCCCTAATGAACAGCCTCAAGTTCTCCTAAGGGGCCAGGTTGGCTCCATCTGATCCACTTTGTCTCCAGGTCAATACTTCATCAGGCAGCTTTGGGGCTGTTTTTTTCTTTTTTTTTCTCTTTAGATGCATCTTTATCTTCCTATAGGAGGGAATGTTTTCTCTCCCTCCATTACAGAGCTTCATGTATTTTTCAAATGGCAAAATTCAATTAAAACACACGCCAGCTGCAAGGAAATACTTCAGGAAAAATTCAGAGAGAGCATTTGCAGGGCGTTTGAGACTCACTCATCCAAACCCTGGGGTCAGGAAAGCCTTGGGATGCACCTTGTCCTGGGAAGGGATGAA